CCGGCTGACTTTGTGGTTTAAGTCCATGTCACGTCCCCCAGCACCTTTCCGTCCACCACACACTTGTTTTATGACAGTTCCACCGCTTTACTCACCGTGAGCCTTCCCTGTGGCTCGAATTAAACTCTCCTCTTTTGAGGTGATGACTCAGGCCCAGAGCTCAGATTCTGGGAGCTTCTCAGCCTCCCCCAAAGGATACCCTCCCAGTCCACTCCCGGGGAAGCTGTGGCCCCAGCATGCCCTCGGGTCCTACCCACCTCTGCGGACTTGTCAATGTTGCAGGCCGATGGCCTTTGACCCAGGTGTCCCCTGCGCATGTGCTCCACCTTGACCATGCTGTTGTCTGCCCTGACCCAACACCTTGTCTGTCCCTGAGGACAGCCCTTTCTCTCCTGGCTGTCCTTTGTGACAACCACCCAGATGCCGAAACCAAGGCTGTTTCCTCTCTGTCCCCTCTGCCAGACCAGCGCCAGCCTGAACCAGGAAGGGCTGCGTCCTCCTGCCCAGCCCTGGTCGGGGCCTCAGGGACGGCCCAGCGACCGCCCACAGCCACACCCAGGGCTGCTTCTGGGACTTGGAAATGGAAACAGCTTTTTCTTCTTTTTTCTTTTTTGAAACACTGAACACAATTTTTTTTTTTCTTTTTGCCAAACTGATGAGGCCAGAACCAGCGGGACCAACTCTAGGTCCATCTGGCCTCAATGCCTGCCCTTCCCTAGGACACGGAGCCAGCTAGCTTTGCCTGCAGGCCGCTGTGGCTCCCTGCAGCTGCTGCACGTGGTCTTGGCCATCGACAGCAGGGGTGGCACAGTCTGGCCTCTGAGTCCCCTTTGGCAAGCAGCCTGGGAATATAGAATGGTTCTTATATTTTTAAAGTGTTGTAAAATCAAAGAAGAATATGCAACAGAGACTGTGTGTGGCCTGCAAAGTCTAAAAATGTTTACTACCTGACCCTTAAGAAAAAAACTGTGGCCCCTTGCTGATGCGAAAGGTCCCCTGGGCCACCTCCCTCGGAAGGCAACTGGGTTTGCCTTAGATTGGGGGGGGGGGGGCATGGGGCTGGAAGTTACACTCTGAGCTGGCTGCAGAGGGGCTCCAAGGGCCAGATCATGCCGACCAGCTGAGGGCAGCGGCCACTCCCCAAGCCCAGCTCAGGGGCAGGCCTGGCCTGGCTCACAGACCTCAGCCTGCGACCTCCGAAGCTCCTTGGAGAGCCTCTGTTCCGTTCTCCCGGGGTACAGAGAGGAAAACTGAGGCCCGTATTCCAAGTCCAGGGCTCTCTCCTACTTCCCCTGTCTGATTCCGGAAGCCCCTCTGCCTGACCCAACCCAGCGCCATGCGTCGCTTGCTGTGCTCGTCTGTTCCTCCAGTGGCCATTCCCAAAGGGCTCGGCACCTCGCTCCCCGGCACTGGGTGCTGAGGGAGGAAGGCTCCTCCAGGCACAGAGGAGGGTGGGTCATGGTCCCTGCTGCTCCGGGGAGCCCTGTGGGTTGGCAATGTTTTGGGGAGGGGGTGCGCTTCTAGGAGAGTGGACAGAGGTCACACGTGGTCCCACCTGTACCAGTGAGGAGGCTGCTTGCTGAGAAGGACACATCGGCCGTGGGCTGGGTTGTGAGGGGCTGGACACAGGGTCGCGCTGGGGCATGGGGGCCTATCGGCAGACCACGCTGCCACAGCTCATTTAAGCAGGGCAGTGACCAGCTGGGTTTGTGTCTTAGAAAGTCCCGTCTGGCTGCCGCCCAGAGGAGGCCTGGGAGGGAAGAGGGCCAGAGGCTGACTTGAGTTCAGGGAGGACCAGCTCCTATCATCAGAGAGGGCGCTGGCTGTCCTCCCTTTGATGGAGGGCCTGGCACCACCCGGCTCCCCTGGCCACAGATGATCTGTCCCCCTGAGTCCCTCTGCCCACGTCCCCAGCCCCCCACAGAGTTTCCTTGTGAGTTTCAGGAAGGAACCTTGGGAGGACTGTCTCCCTGGGCCTCAAGTCAATTGTGGCTGGGCATTTCATGAGCTGCTCATTTTAATTTCACTTCCTAAATGTGTGTAACAAAGCTGGCCTTTTCATTGGCTGTTAGGAGGCTTGGAGGAAGCTTCTAACCCGGGTCCATGGGAGAGAGTCATGAAAGAATTGAGGGGCCCAGGAACCTGGATGGGAAACGAAGGACATCCTTACTGCTTCTAACCTGTAACTGTGAGCAGTTCCCTCAGGGATGCCCAAGACGAGACCAAGACAAAGCGCACTGCGGCGGCATCAGTGCTGTGGCCGCGTCACGTGTATTTTTGTGTGGCCCCACAGCCGTAGATTTTCTGAAATGTCATTTATGCCCATCACTGTTTCCACACGAGTAGGCCTATCGTTAGATCTTGTGATTTAGTGTGTTAATTAAGAAGTGCGTGTGTGGGGGTCTCGGGAATCCGATTTTCAGTATTTTGATAACTGTGTTTTCCCACGATCAGTTTCTCCTCTCACCCTTCGCCTGTGGTTCTCGGCATTTCAAGCCTTTATTCTGAGTCCACAGAAAAAGTTGAGAGCCCGTCCCACCGCACTTAACGCCCCCGCCCAGCTCTTAGCTCATTGGCCTGCCGCCCCTGCCCGTGTTCAGTGTGTTCCTGCTCTCCTGGGAGCGTCTGGACGCGGGCGTGGCGCTGCGTGTGCTGCCGTGGCTGTAGCATCAGGCCGAGCTACGAGTATGCGCTTCACTCCTGTGGTTTTTTGAGTTGGAAGGAAATGCTTTGGCAGGACAGGACAAGAAGCGCGGTCTCTTGAACTCTGCCTGCGGCCTCACCAGGCCCATGGTTAGTCCGGTCTGTCAGCCGGGGCTGATCTGTGGGCCCGAGGCCTACCCGCGTCCCGCTGTGCCCGCTGAACCCCTGTGCTCCATTTCAGATACCCTGGGGTCCCCAAACCACCTCACCTCCCAGGCCCTGGGCATCTCCAGCTGGGATGGTGATCCCAACCCTCACTGCCTTTTGGTAATTAGAGCTTCCCCACTGTTGGATCACATCTGAAACCCCGGAGCCTCCTCCTGCCTCTCCCCCTTCTTGCTTTATAAAAACAAAAGCTGAGCTTTTGGAAGCCCATCAAGTCACACACTAGGCGAGATTAAAGCCACAATGAACCAATTTAAGCGCCTGCACATTCTAATGTGCATTTCAAATGAAGCATTCACAGCCTGGGAGTGGCTGTGGGGAACGTAGTAAATTGTTAGGAAAAAAAAATGAAATATGCTCTGGAAGGAAAACAACACGCTGGGAGACTGAGCTCCGAGGGCGGGTGGGCTCAGGTCTCGGGTAGGGCCACTCTGAGTCACCTGCCCCCTCCCCCCACTCCCCTGTGGGCATCTGTCCAGGCAGGCCTCTGGGCAGCACCGCCCAGGGCAGGACTCACGAGGGTGCCCAGGCTCCCTCCCGCCTAACGCTTGTTGAACAACCAACTGACGACCGAGAAGAAAGCGCCAACAAACAATTCAGCCAATGTTAGGAACTGTTTGTTTGCTTTTTTTAAAAGCTATGATTGCGCTTTCTGGAAAATTCACAAGGGACCTAAAAGGAAAAATAAGGAAACAGAAAAACTTCCAACTGTGGTTCCACCAACCACAGACAATTGTCCTTAACCAAGTGGCCTCCCAGGATACCATGCCAGGGAGAGAGGCCTGAAGTCACGTGGGATGTGACATCAGTCACGCTGCCCACATGCCCCCCTCCAGTTTGGTCACATGAGCACATTCATGGCAAGACCTCCCAACCTTTTTCTACAAGCATAGTTTTTCTGTGCTTGTTTTGGTTTGCCTTTATTAGTTGTAGAGTTGTGACTACTAGATATACGGTTCTGTCTCATTTTTTTGGTATTACTATATTTTAAGAATTCTTCATCACAAATTGATTTTAAGCATACTTTTGTTGGCTGCAGAATATTCTGAAGTGTAAATACTTTATTTACTTAATGCCCTATTATTAGGCATTTGGGCTGTTTCTAGTTTTGTGGTCTTTTTTTGGTGCATTAAACTCTATATCAACTGTAGGCTATTTCAAAATTTGCAGAGGTCTTACTCTGTGTAAGGCATTATGGGAGAAGGGAGGATAAGCTTGACCCAATCCTTCACGTAACATGCAGATATAAATAACTTCAATCCAAAGTAGCTTGGAGTTCCCATAAACAGACAACGAGGACTGGCACACAGAAGAGTTTTGCTTGGGTGTAAAGGGATTTTGAGAAAGTGGCACGAGAACATCAGAGACTCTGCCTGCACAGCTGGATGGTGAGGGAGGAGGGGGCGGAGGGGTGGGTTTAGCCGGGAGACCTACACCAGCAGGCGGGTGTCCTAAGGCAGGCGAAGCCAGTGGGTCCCATACGAAGCGTAGGTCAGCAGACGGCCCTCGAGTGCCAGAAGGTGGTGCAAGGCTCGGTGGGGGCGATGTCTGCTGGGGACCCCTGGTTGGTGGACAGGTAGCGACAAGACACCTGGCTGACCTGCTGTCCCCCAGCCTGAGGTGTTAATTTCAGGCCAGTTTCAGAGGCTGATGTTGGCCTGGCCAGTGCCAAAAATCGTGTTTCTTAGGCTGAGGCTTTTGAGTCATTCAGATCAAGATGCATTATCTGTCACTGACATCGCAGGCTGTGCGTGTTTCAGGATCCTCTTTGGAAGGGGCTTCAACCCAAAGAGACAGGAAGGTGCCCCTGTGCCCCAAGGTGGGGCGAGTGCGGAGCAGGGAAGCAGAGAGGCCAAAGAGAATCTTCGCCAACCCAGCCCCCTGGGCCCGCTGTCGGGGCTCAGCCACAGGCGCGCCCGGACCTGGGTTCCTTCCCTGTCTGTCCCAGCCCTCCGGCTCTTTGACAAATGCAACCACCCCTGACCGCGTCACCCCAGTCCAGGCGCCGGGGTCGGGGAGGCTGGACCTGTGCACCGGGTCCATCTCCTGCACCCTCGCCGGCCGCCCACCTGCCTGCCCTGGGCCCCTGCATGCTCGCCCATCGGCTTGATCTCACGTGGTCCTGCCTTCAGCCCCAGCAGGTGCCATGACTCAGCAGCCCCAGGAGGGCTTCGCCAGGAGCGTGGAGGACGCCCGGGAGTGGATGAAGGCCGTGCAGGACCGGCTGCAGGTCAACGACAACACCCAGGGGCCCCGGGCCGCCCTGGAGGCCAGGCTGCAGGAGACCGAGGTACGCAGGGGCCCCAGCCTCCGTGGCCTGGGGCCGTGGCCGGGGCCCTCCCTCTCTGGTCTCAGGTTTCCGGACTTGGGCCAGTGTTCTGCAGACTCTGATGTGTCTGGATCTCCTGAGGATGTCCGTTTAAGGGCACATTTTGATCCCGGAGGTCGGGGTGGGCCCGAGGTGTGGCATTTCTGACATGCTCCAGGCGACGCCATTGCTTCCGGTCCTTGGACCCCACTGTCATAGGAAGCATCTAGGGCCCACCCTCTGGCCCTCCTGTCCCGGCAGGGGCACCGTGCAGCCAGCCAGGTGCCCAGCCCAGCTGGCCCAGGCCTGGCGTCCTGCCCCCCTCCCTGCTTCCCTGCGGCCAGGTCCGGGTTGGCCCAGGTTGGCCTTCGGGGGCAGGGGCGGGGGCTGTGCCCGGTGAGGAGCGACCCCATTGGCTTCTCCAGGGCCAGGGTCCAGGTTTACTCCCCGCCTGGCACAAAGCAGGGCTCAGCGCACAGGGAGCTACACTGACCAGCAGTTCGGGTGCCCAGTGCCTGGCCCAGCGTCACCGTGGGAACGAGCGCTGGACGCATAGAGAGCTGGGCCACAGCCTCCGTGCCGCGGCCAGTGCTGTCTGTCTGTGGGCCTCAGTTCCCCATCTGTGAGCAAAGCAGTTGGCTTGCACGTCTCTCAGGTTACGTTTATTGGGACGTTCCACAATTATAATTTATCACCTAACAATGGTTGCTTTTAAGGGGAAGCTGACCTTCTCCTGCGCAGGCTGGTCCGCCGACCAGGCCGGAAGTGGCGCTGACCACCCTCGGGTGGGGGCCTGTCCACGAGCAATGCCTGGTGTGCCCGGTGTGCTGGTTAGAGCTCTGGCCAATTGACTGTCGAGGCAGAAAGGAGGGGGGTGGCCACTCCTGAGTGACCCAATCAGAAGCTTCCCTATTGGATGGTGAAGTGAGCAAAGAACCCAGGACAGGCAGGGAGTCCGGAGGAGGTCACATCCCCTGGACTTTGCTGCAGAGGCTTAAAAGGGGAGAAGTTAGGTTGGGGGGCGCAGGGGTGAGGATGGCAAGGGTGGGGTCCCAGCAGAGGGAACAGTGTAAGGGAGGGGGCACCCTGAGGTACACATGCTGGGAGCCCTGCCAAAGCTGGTGTGACGGCAGCCCTGACTGTCAGGCAGAAACAGGGGACAGGGCCAGAGAGGCGGGCGGGGGCCAGAGGGTGACAGCCTGAAGCACCAAGGAGCTGGGACCCCTCTCCTGTAACGGCCGGTGGGCTGGAACTTTGGGAGGTTGGGGACTGAGGGGGCGGGGCAAGCCTGGAGCTGCAGGGGAGGCGGCGGCCCCAAGCCCCTTCCCTGGTCAGACTTGCCATTGTTGTTGTCACCAATAGGCGTTTATCAAGCGTTTATTCCTCCCGGGAACAGGGGAGCTGGCACTCACCGAACACCGCGATCGACTTTCATGTTTCATTTCACAAAAGCCCTGTGAGTGTGGTTTTATTGTCGCCACTTTTCAGTAGTAAAATGGATTCCTAGACACAGTGACGGGCCAAAATTCAAGGAATTGAGCTGGTGAAGACGTGGTCCCAAGACTGAGTTTAGAGCGTCACCGGCCACCCCTATGCGGGGACCTGGGCCGGAGGAGGCCGAGGCGCACCCTGCTCTCGGGTGCACAGCATAGCGGGAGACAGGCACGCACACAACCCAGGTGGCCACTTTCTCCTACAAGCAGGTACGAGGAACATGCGTAGAGCGGGTCTCACGGTGTTCTCCTCCTCCTCCGAAGCCTCCAGGGCACCCCATTGCCCGCCAAAGAAAGACCCCACATCGGGAGCCATTCGCTATTGGCATAGCCCCGTTTTCCAGCCTCATTCCCCAGCCCCGCCCCTAAAACCCCACCTGCCAAGCACATACATCCTCCTATTGGCAGAAACCTCCTAGATTTTCTATCACTAAGCCTTTGTCTGTGCTGACGCCTCTACTAGGAGCGCCCTTTTGTTTGGGTCTGGGCGTGCCTGTGAAATGAAACGTTCCCTTGTCCACGAGTCTCTCCTGACCCCCCCTCCCCAGCCGTGGCATTCTCCATCGGGACGGCGCCACCCTGCGTGTGGACTTGCTGTCTCAGGGTGCGCATCCCTCTGCAACCTTGCGCTTCGCTGGCAGATCATTACCCCTGGTTGGTGGGTCTGGCTTAAGCAAAGGCAAGGATGGTCCTTAGGCAGAGCCGCAGGCGTGGCCAGCGGCAGTGGGCCCTGCCCGCTGGAGGGAGCACTTCAGTCACTTGAGGCCCCCCCAGACTTGACCTGGAGCCCCTGAGTGGGGCCTCATGCCACTGTGCTGCCCCGCAAGGCTCAGGCATGCGCATTTTCTACATGCTTTGACATTTTAAAAACAATTTGGTGATAAGAAAACATTGCACTCCCGTCAGCTGGTGCCTTCTTCACCTCCTCAGTCCCCGGACTGCACCCTGGGGTCTGGGGTCTCCCTTGCGGCCCCTCCGCCAGCTCGGTGACGCACACCCCGAATGACCAGGATGTGACCTTCTACCCAGCTCTGATGCTGTGGGGTGGGGAGCGAGTCCCGTGCCCTCCCGCCAGCTCATTTCCCATCGGTAAAACAGGGGAAGAACCCTCTCACCCCTCGTATGCCAGGACCCTCAGGAGGTGGGGGGCCGTCTGTGAGGGGAGGCTACACCCACAGAGCCTGAGAGCCCGGGTCTGGGGCCACAGGCTGGGTCGAATCACCTCTGTGTCCGTGGCACCTTGGCGGAGTCTTCAGAACTCCGGAACCTCAGCTTGCTCCCTTCGAGGGAAGGTGAGAGTCCCCACCTCGCAGGAGGGAGGGAGGGTCGAGAGGAGGAATTACGGGCGAGCCTGGCACCGCACAGGGCATGACCTATGCAGGGGGTCGTTTGTGGTGGCCCTGGTGCAGGACACAGGCACGCTGACTGTCCCTGCCCGTGCCCCGAGCCCCTGGAGCCGCTCTCCTAAGTCCCAACACCCCAGCTCTTTGTCCTCTGATTCTCAGCGTCCTTGGCCCCACACCTGGGGCCTGGCCACAGCCAGGCTGCCTCCTCACCGGCTTCCAGTCACTGCGGCGGCAGGGACCTGCCAGCGCTTCCCGGGGCCTGGCCTCCCCAAGCCGGACGCACCGTCCCTCAACATGCTGTGCCTGCCCTTTGCTCAGCCCCCATCTCAAATGCCTGCACATCGCCAGGCTTGTGCCAGTGCCGCCTGCTCAGGAAGCCTCCTGGGGTTCCCCCACCACCCTCCTGGAGCTCCAGCACACTCTGTGGCCTCGGGCCTCTCAGAGTCCTCTACGCACTCGTCCGCAGACCCCGCGCAGCCTGCAAGCACCCGGCGCGTTTGCTCGTCCTGGCGTCCAGTGGCCAGCACCGTGCCCAGCACCATGCCCGCCTGGTCTTCGCTGCCTTGAGGGGAGCCCTGACTAACCTGCTCCTCCAGCTTCCCTGGGCTCCTACTCCTCCCCCCACAGGTCCTCCCTCCATCCGCCCCCCACGTGACAGTTGCTTTCGCCGGCTTCTTCGTGAAAGGAATGACATTATAACTGCTGTTCAGACACCTGCCCAGCCGGCTGGCATCCCTTGCCACACAGTCCTGGATGGCGTCCTTGCCAGGGGTGGGCTCTGAAGAAACCTCACCCCAGCCAGTCCCCAGGGCGGCGAGGAAGGAGAGGGCCTGCTTCTCCTCAGTTGTCTCTGCCAGCCCAGCCACAGCCTCCGGCTGGGCATTTCGGGGCAGGTGTTCTGCCTGCCTGTGGACTGGCCAGCGCTCCTCTCTCTGGCAGGGAAGCCACACTCAGTCCCCAGCAAAGGGCAGTGGGTCATGGGTCTCCCGTACCTCTCAGTCCAGCCTGTGCCTCTCCAACCAGGAATCAGGAGGGCAAAGTCCAGAAGCCTGGAGGAGGTCACACGACTGGGACACTGGGCCTTGGGGGAGGGCCATTGCCCTCACGGGGACTTTCCGGGCCTGGCTGGCTCTTTCTGGGTGTGGCAGAGAGAGTGAACTTTTTGGAAGCTGTTGGCTTCCTTGGTTTATGGCGCTGGATCTGGTCCGAGCTTACGTGAGCCCACGTGGTAAGGAGGCGCTCTGGCTGCTGTGAGAGTCGTTCTGCGGAGCTCAGGGTTTCTGTGGGACCCCGGTGCCCTCGCTTGTAAACCAGAATGACCACGGTGCCCACCCTGCCAGCTTGGGCAGTGAGCACGCGGTGCCCCCCGGCTCGGTGTCAGCAATAGCAGGCCCTTACTTGTTACGAGTTCTGATCCCATTAAATCTCACTGGAGGGCAACACATTCATCCGTAGCCACACGGTGGGACCCCGGATCCTGAGTGGTGTGAAATGTTCTGGGCCGGGGGGAGGGTAATAGTTCTCAGTCTAGAATGTTCCACGGTGGCCCTTGGACCTTTAGTGCACACTAGGCACTACGGTACCTTTGTGGTCCACATAGCCACTGGCTGCTGAGCAGGACTCAGGGTCCCTGATGGGTGCCTGCTGCAGCTGTGACCCTGGGGGCCCCCGTCCTATCCTGTCCCATCCTGCCTCCTAGCCCCCCCCACCCCGCCCCAAACAAAGCCGCTTCCCCTGTCTGGGGGAATCTCCCCGATCTCCCCGACCCGTCCTGGCTCCCCCACCCACTCAAGGCTCAAAGGCAGCCTTAGAGAGGAGCTCGTTCGGCTGCGCTCTCTGATGAGACATGGAGTAGAGGAAGTCCCTCTGAACCATCTGTCACTGTCCTCATCGTCGTCGTCATCGTCATCACTAACCATTCTCACGTGAAGTAACAAAAGGGATCGGGGCCCCTGCCCACTTGCGCATGTGCGGGGAGAGTCTACATGAGCTGCATTAACTTATGTCGATGTTTAAAGTAACAGTATTTCTAAAAATTAATCCTCAACCCCCATGAGGTGGACAAAGCAGGGATTGTCCTCAGGATCTCGGGGTGAGGAAGGGATGCCCAGAGTGGTCGAGTGACCTGCCTGGGGTCGCACAGCCATCCACGGGTGGCATTGGACACGGCAGCGGCCCTGCCCCCACCCCACCCACAGAGAAGGGCCAGAGACAGCCAGCCCCCTGGGGACACCCGTCTGTGACTGTGACTGCCAGCCCTCCCTCACACTCAGGCGGGGAGGGAGCTTTAGCGGTCAGCTCTTCCTGGTCCCCTCCGCGCTCTTGGGGCATAACTGTCCCCTCTCTCTCCCTGGTTCGTAGGCCTGGAGCCTTTGAACACCGTGACAGCTGATATGGCCCTGTAAGTGGAATCCAGGCACATATTTACTATAGAGACTAAGCTTTTGTTGCCAAAGGCCTGGAACAATCCCAGCAGCTAACACTTTGTGTGATTAGTCTTGGTCCTCCAAGAATCCAAAGCCACAGTGAGGTGAACTGTGCAAACGTTTGTTAGGGAAACACCCGTGACAGGAAATGGGCCGGAGCCCCAAGTGCCTGGGACGGATGCAGCGCGTCCAGTGCAGGTCTGGCCCCGAGGCCAGGGGCGCGGGCAGCGGTCAGCCTGCCTTACCGTCCTGGGGGATTTGGCGAGGCCATGCGTCGTCCCAGACCAGTTGCCCTTTGTTGGAGCCCGATGTCCCCCAGGAACGGGCTGGCCTCAGCCTTCCTGCCTGCTCACTGGCGGGAGCAGCCGAGGGGGCGAGGGCTTGGTGCAAACGACCAACTCAGAGGTCATCCTGGAACCTTGGCCGGGGTCATAGGTCAGCCCCCCTCCCTGCATGGCCCTGAGAGGCAGACCCGCACGGCCCCGCACCATGATGTATACTTCACGTGCCTTTTCTCGCTGAACTCTGGAACGGGAACTTGAGAGCTAAGTACTCAACATACCCATTTCACAGGTGGTGAAACCGAGTCCAAGGAGGTGATGAAACTTGTCCAAGTTCACACAGCTAGGAGCGGCCCCCTGGGGAAGGGAGGGAACTCAAATAACCAGGCAGCTGGTGTCCTTCTACGCTCCTCCGTCGCTTCTTGTTCCTGCCCTCAGAGCCACTGGCAGGATGTCATGGTCCCAGGAGAAGGGCTCAGGGGCCACTATTTGAACCCTAGCACCTCTGGGCTCAGAATCTGGGCTCTTCCCGTCACGCACTGTCTGTGGCTCAGCCCCTGTGCACTTTGCCTGATCCCTGGCAACTGGCTTTTGTGCCCATGACAGAAAATATGCCAACTGGAGCCAGAGGGGCGCCTGAAGGTGGACCTGGTGCTGCAGGCGGCCGAAGCGCTCCTGGCATGCTGCCACGAGGACCAGAAGCCTGGGATCCTGGCCCAGCTGAGGGACATCAAGGCCCGGTGGGAGGAGACAGTCATCTACATGACTCACTGTCACAGGTGGGGCTGCTGGGGCCCCTGCCAGGGCTTGGTCTGCGGTCGCCCCGGCCCCTGCCTGCCCACTGCCACGCTGGCCTGGGGCTTCTGCCCAGGGGACACTTCTCCAGCGCTGGGAATTCTGGGAATGGGATGTTCTCTTGGGGTTTCAGCCAGCTTGGCCTGCCTCTTCCCAATTACAGTCAAGCTTAATGATGATCGTAGACAGAGGGAGCCCATCTTGTTTAGCCAACAGTTAATTCTTTGCAGGCTTGCCATGCGCGCGTCCGCCCACAGAGTGGGAGAACGGCGCTGGAGGAGGAAGGCCTGGCTCTTGCCAGCGCTTCAGCCCAGATTCTCTGCCTGCGTCGGGGAGCCAGGCGGGGCGGGGTGGGCATTAGATGGACGGGGCCTCTTGCTTGCACAGCTACTTGCTGTGTGGCCTTGGGAAAGTTACTTGACCTCTCTGAGCCTCAGGTATCCCATCTGGACAATGGGTATAATCAAATGTTCGCGGAAGGCTGTTAGGAGGATGGGAGGGGGAGAGAGCCAATGTCGTGAGCAAGGCGCACGGTAGGCCCTCAGCAAACAGGAGCAGCCAGCGCTCTCCCCAGTGGTGAGTGGGCTGCGGGCGCTTTGCATGGTGCTTTGGCTTTACAAGCCTTTTCACTTAGAATTCCAAAGTGGCTTGCTGTGGCTGCATGGGTAGGTCCGTGCCTGTGGTACAGATGGGGAAACTGAGGCAAGTGAGGAGGCAGGGTTGTGCAGTGACACCTCTTGAACCCACACACAGCCCTCCGCCCTCCACCCCCACGGTGTGGCCGCCAGCCCCCAGATACCAGCATCCTCTGCAAAGCATCGCACACTCCCAACGGCATGTTCAGTGTCTGTTGGTGGGCACGCCCACGGGAAGAGCCGGGGTGACTGTGCCCAGTCCCACTGCCGGAGAGAAATGACTGGGGGTCCCTGCATGCTGACGATGGGAGTTTAGGGCGAGAATTTGGGGTGCCAGCAGCGAAGGCTCTGTAAGCTACGTCCGCAGGGCGGGTCGTTCTAGAGCAGGTCTGGAATCTGAGCCACCCGCGTCCGTGGCCCCGCCCATGGAGCCTGGCTCCCAGATACAGGGTCTTGTCCCGCAGGACCAAGGTGGGGCCCTGAATCTGTAGTGTCAGCAAGCTGCCCAGGCGACTCTAACACCCAAAGAGGGCATCACCGTGTTCCCCTCCCATAGTCCCATAGTGCCAGGAGCCAGGTGGGTGGCTTGTTCAGGGCCCGCGGTCTCAGGGCCCCCTGTCTCTGTGCCCGCAGCCGCATCGAGTGGGTGTGGCTGCACTGGAGCGAGTACCTCCTGGCCCGAGATGACTTCTACCGCTGGTTCCAGAAGATGACGGTGGTGCTGGAGCCCCCCATGGAGCTGCAGCTGGGCCTGAAGGAGAAGCAGTGGCAGTTGAGCCACGCCCAGGTGCTGCTGCACAACGTGGAGAGCCAGGCCGTGCTCCTGGACCGGCTGCTAGAGGAGGCCGCCTCCCTGTTCAACAGGATCGGGGACCCCAGCGTGGACGAAGATGCCCAGAAGAGGATGAAGGCCGAGTACGATGCCGTGAAGGCCAAAGCCCAGGTGGGCGAGCGCGGTGGGCTTTCACCCAGACAGCCATTTCCCCACCTCCTCTGCCCATCTGGCCACACATTTGCTAACTAATCATCTATCCGTCCGTCTACTCACCATCTACTGTCCACTCACCCAAGACCCACCCACCAACATTCACCTATCTACCCACCGTCCTAGCCACTCGTCCCTTTATGTCCACACTAAACTACCAAGTCCCCCACTCACTCTCCACCCCTTCACCACCTCATCTGCTCACCTTCCCAGCCATCCACCCAGCCGCCCACACTCCTGTACACCTGTTTACCCTCGACTCACCCGTCTACCTCCCCACCAACCTAACTAATCTCCTGTTTATCTAGACAACCACTTAATCACCCACCCAGCCATCTAGCTACTCATTCACCTACTCATCAACTTGCCTACCCCTTCACCCACCCACTCACTTATCCATCTCTCCACTATCAACTACCACTGTTTACACCTCCACCCACGCACCCACTCCCTCACTATCTACTTGCCACCCATCTGTTCATCTATCCACTCACTGTCCACCCACTCATCAATTGTCCATCTACCTATCCACCCACCCCTCTACCACCCACCCACCCACCCACCCATCAGCCCATATCTGCCCCTTATACACCCAGTGCCACTCAGTAACTTACACACATGTGGGTGCTTAATACGCGTGTGGCTGACCTTCTGACCTAGGACTAAGGCTTGCTTTAGCTGCTCCCCTCCCTCCGCCCCTTTTTCCGCCCTCCCTCCTCCTGCCCTTTAGCCCCTCCTCTTCTGCCCTCTCTTGCCCTCCCCTCATCCTTGTGCCCATCCTTTGCCGCTATTCCCTCACCTTTTCCTTGCCTTGATTTTTAAACAGCCCATGGAGTTATTAAGTTAAATTATTATTACTATTATTTCAGAAATCCTCTTTGGTTCCTTCATTATGTCTGCCATTCCTCTTTGCACGGGGTCTCTTTTCCCTTACATTGCACGCCCCTTCCCGATATGTAATTATCCTAAGGGTACGTGTTTTACAGTCTCCATCAGAGGTGGCTGGGGGGCAGGGGCCAGGGCCTTCTGGCGTTAGATGCAAACTGCCACGTGAGGATGGGCATTTTGCTGTGAGATTCCAGAGGGTACTGTGACCCTCAGAACCTGAGAAGCTACTGAGAGAGGCAAGCGTTTTTACTGCCCTTGGCCAGAGAGTTTGTTCCCAGCCCCGTGGTCCTCATCAGTAACATGAGATCAACCTCCTGGGCACACTCCAGCCTCCCTGCCCCCACCTTGGGCAGAAGGAGAACAGCCTGGCTCCATACTAAGCAGGTGGTTAACCCTGCTGTCCAGTAGTCCCCAAAGTATCTTGGTGGCCCAGATGCCTCCTGGTGCCCTGCTCTGAACATGTGCTGTAGGGGTCCCCTGGCATAAAAGGCTCTCTCAAGGCAGGTGAGAAAGCCACCCCCAATGCAGGCAGCTGAAATCTCCCCCAGTGGTAGGACTGGGGCTGTGCAAAGATCCCTAGGGGCCCCCGGCCTGTTCTCAGAGTGGGGAGGGTCCCTGGGGCATTGTCTGAGTCTGCTTGGACTTCTGTCTCGGAAATCACAGACCCGTGGCTTCAACAGCAGGAGTTTACTTCTCCCAGTCTGGAGACTGGAAGTCTGATGTCGGGGTGCCGGTGCCTTTGCTTTCTGGCGCAGGGTGTCTTCCTGGCTTGCAGATGACTGCTTTCTCTTTGTGTCCTCCCACGGCAGAGAACGCACGGACAGCGAGCTCTCTGGTGTCTCCTCCTGGGAGGGTACTAATCCCGTCATGGGGACCCCACCCTCAGGACCTCATATCACCCCAGTCAACCCCCAAGGCCCCATCTCCAAATACCATCACATCAGGGGTCAAGGCTTTAGCACATGAACTTGGCGGGGAGTGGGATGAGGAAAAAGCACTGTTCCGTTTGCAGCAGATGCTACGTGTATTGACTCTCGTCTTTCCCCAATAAGAGCGCATTTCAGCGGTGCTCACACGAGTTGACAGGCCATCAATTCCACCTCTGAAAATCCCTTTTTGACTTCCAATATGTGAGTTAGCAAAGCCTCTGGTGTCGGTGAGGCCAGGGCCACAGAAGCACCGTGAGGCCCACCTCTGGGCTGGTGGCCTCTGTGACCACCCCCTGGAGGGAGATTCTTGATGAGGACCCCGCCCAGCCTGGGAATGAGCACGTTGTCCATTCAAAACACTTGAAAGTCCAGAAGAAACAGAGCAGGCTGGTAGCCAGTAAGGTCTTGCTTGTTTACTTTGTCTGAGTGCTTTTAATCCAGCAATTCCACTTTCTGAAGGGCCAGGGGCATAGTGGCATCCTCTGTCCCCTGCTTCCCTCTCTAGAGGAGGCGTGTGTGTCCAGCATCTGGCCATGAATCAAAGTCGCCCGTGCGGCCTGCACGGAGCCTAGATCCACGCCGCCTTTTTAGTGCGTTGGGTTTTGACATTCCTGACAGCTCTTCCGGCCGCAGATGGTTTAATTGTTTGGTCTAACGAGAGAAGGTTGAGCACTCTCCCATTCGTCACTGCTGTCATCCGCTGCCTTGGCCGCGGCCGCGGCGGCGGAGCTGTGCTGTGTGATCGCTCTGCCTGGCACAGAGCTCGCCTGGCCGGCTGCCCCACATGGCCGCGGCCCCGTCTGGGCCTGCGCCCTCTCACTGAGGCCTTTATTTACTCTGCGTTTGCCCGGGTGCCAGCACCTCATCACTCACATGCTCACGCAGCTGCTGGCCGGCATGTTTGGTGCGGAGGCTGCTTCGTTTATAACCCTCAGTCGGCTGGGGCCACAGGAGATTCTCAGCGTGTTCGTCTGGCCCTCCTTGGTTCACACATGAGCCCTGCCCATGGATGGAGGAGCTCTGGGTGGACGCAGGCAAGCTCGTAGGAAGGGGCAGCCCGCAAGGGCAACGTGAAGGGCCAGGCACCGTCCCTTGGTGCGCCTTTGGAACTGAAACAGCAGTGGTTTTGTCTGCCAGGGGCTGCTGTGGGAGCCTTGGGCCTCACGCCGATTATTGGGAGATTTCTTGGTTCTTCACGGAAGGACTTGGCTGTGTGCCTTGCTTTCCCCGTCTCTAAAGTGGGGTTATTTTCTCCCATTTGCCATGGTTGTAGCAAAGGTTTCAATGAATTAATTAGTATCTCTAGATTTGGCAAGGAGCTTCTCAAAGGGAGGAGCTGGCGCGTACAACAGGAAGTTGTGTATCTGTCCACACTTGCCAGCTGAGGACTTCTGACTGATTCGTACATGCTCAGAGCCCTCCTGGCTCCATGGCTGAGAGGGAGGCCCACAACCTGCAGCCTGTGGACAGAATCCAGCCCACCTCTCGATTTTGCATGACCTATGACCTAAAAATGGTTGTTACGTTTTTGCATGATTGTGGGGGAAATACAAACCAGAATATTCCATGACATGCGAAGATACAGACTTCAAGCTTGAGTGCCCACATTTCAGTTGTATTAGAATACACCCAGCCCTGGGGCGTTTGCCTGGGGCCGCCTGTCTGAGCCGTGGCCTCAGAAGCAGCGCCTAGGAGGTGGAGTAGCTGGGACGGAACCCACAGGCCAGAGAAAGCCGAACTGGCTGCAGGTGGCCCACCCCTGCTCTAGGGCCCTGACTTGCAGTCCGACCCCTACCATTTAAATCCTGTGTCTCAGGCCCTGCGGGAATTACGTGACCTCCCAGCATCCATCTGGACATTTATATAATGGGAGAGTTTAAGGATTGTGGTGAAGATTAAGGAAGATCATCCTCGTCAAGTTCCAGGCCCATAGCCAGGGCTCCTTTAGTGGAAATCCCCTCTTTCCCTTTCCTTGACTCCTTCAACATCCCCTCCCTCCTCCCCCACCCCTGTCCCCACGGGCAGGCGCTCAGTGCGTATTCTTTCTGCCATTCAGGAAGCATCTGCAGAGCCTGCCCTGAGCGACCTGGGCAGCAAACCAACAAGGCGCAGCCTGTCTGTAGGGGCTCTTGGGTCCCCCAGCCGGAGCCCCACAGAGGGAAGGCCCTCTATTCAGCTTGGGGCAGCGGCCCATCTTCAGAAAAGGAAGGGGCCGCAGGCGATTGTAACCGTGGCTCACTGTTGTCTAGCACCCCCAGGCTGCCCGATGCTGTCCGTGGGCTACATGGGCTCCGACCCCTGCGGCTCCACTGCAGCCCAGCGAGGCAGGCGCTGGCGTTAGCCACTGCTCACAGCGGCAGAGGCTCGGGCACAGAGCAGAGGGTGAACTAGCAGCCCGCGTCAGGCCGTGGCTCAAGTCGCAGGCCGTGGGCCCCCAAGCCCTGGTTCCGGACCGCGGGGGCCCCGTGCCCAGGCACAGCGTCTGCCCTTGACCTCCAGGCTGTGGCTTTCGGACCTGAGCCTGGGGCAGGGAGGAGCCATGGAGGGGGTTAAAGAGATGGTGCTGTGATCAGTGGTATGTTTTGAAAAACAGAGTCCTTAGGCACACAGTAGGTCTTATATCGGGAACACTTGTTTCCCCAAAGCCAGCCGCTCTCAGACGCCCATCTGGTCCCTATGCGGTTAGAACTGCAGTGGCGTTGTCTGGAAACAGATGACTCCAACCCACGCAGGTGACTTGGCCTCCCTCACGAGGAACTGGGGCAGCTTGCCATTTATTTGCATGCCCTGCAGACACCATCGTCCAGGGGCAGGCACGCTGAGGCCCAGCCTCACCCCCTGGGTTTGAGTCTTTTGGTGCTTTCCCAGGCAGCTGGTGACCTCAGACAAGGCTCTTCACCTCTGGGCCTCCGAGTCCCTGCCTGTTAAGCTGGGTTAATAACATTGCCTGCAAGCGGGTGGCTGGGAGAGCTCGGCGAGGTGACAATGCCCGTCAAGTTCCTGGGGCAGCTCCGGCCCCTCGGTGCACGCTCAGATGACAGCGTTAGGTGGCAGTAGTTGTGATGACCAGGCCCCTGTCTTGAGTGCCATGCCCAGGACACGGTAGGAAAGAAAGCCAGCGGTACAGGGGACAGACCCAGCACTGATGTGCTTTGGTCTCCAAAGCTAAGAATCTCTTGGCTTTTTGCTAATAAGCTAGAGAAGAGTGTCTGGCATCTCTTTATTTCCAGCCAAAGGGCTGAGGGTGGGTTGCACCCCATAACCCTGCCCCCCAAACACACACATGCAGACGCACACATGTGCAGGCCTGGAGACCCCGTGGCCGCTGACTCTCCCCCCTTCCACAGGACAGAGTGGGCCTGCTGGAGCAGGTGGCCCAGGAGCACCAGTGTTACCAGGCAAATGTGGACGAGTTCCAGCTGTGGCTACAGGCGGTGGTGGAGAAGGCGCAGGGCTGCCTGGGGCGCAACTGCGAGCTGACCGACCAGCGCCGCCTCTCCGAGCTGCAGGTAGCCTGGCCATGTCCAGCCCGGGGCTGCCCAGGGAGCCGCATGTGTGGTGGGCTCTAAGTTAGAGTCCTTTCAGAGGGGTGCTGGGGGCCAAAGGAGATGCAAACACCCATGGCCACAGATCCCGCAGGAGGAGAAGTGGGGGGATCTAGGGAAAAAGGTTTAGGGCCTCGCTGCCTGTGGGAATCTCCAAGCCAGCGGGGCCCTGGGAAACCCAAGGCCACGGCAGCAGGTCTAGCTGGTGGGTCGCAAATAGGGCACATTTTGCAGTGCCTGGAGACATTTTTGGCTGCCATAGTTGGGGCCCGGGGAGCTACTGATACCTGGTGGGCAGGGACCAGAGATGCTGCTAAGCCTCCTACAGTGCACAGCAGGGCTCTCACAGCACGGACCTATCCGACCTCTAATGTCAGCAGGGCTGCGGGTAGGAAAGCCCGGTGGGGGCGGCCGGCTGCCAGGGGGAGGGGCTGGGGCCCACCCGCCTTCCTGACTAGCCATGACCTTGAATCAACATCTGACTCCCCCTGTAGGGTCGGTGAGGAGATTGTCTTCAGTAAGTCAAGAGCCACTCTCTAATTTTTGCTACAGTTATACAGCACCTGTACCATTTATTTAATATTTGTATTTAAATGGACTCACCTTACAAAAATAACGATGAACAATGACTCATATAAGAATGTTCAGAGCAACCTTGTTCCTAATGGACTCGTACTGAAAACGGCCCAGATTTTTATCAGCAGAGTATTGGATAAACAATCCAACAGAATGTTGTCTATTGGACAAATGTAATATATGTATATATGAAGGAGTGTAACTCACAATAAAAAGGAATGAAATACTGATATCCACGACAGCATGGAAGAATCTAAAAAAATAGTATGCTGAGTGAACGAAGCCAGTTTCAAAAAGCAGCATATTCTATGATTTCAAATAAGTTCTAGAACCTCCTGGAGAGTTAGAAATACTGTACGTTTTGATAACAGTGTGAATTACGTGAGCACGCCTATTTCTCAAAACTCTGAACAGCAACACCCAAGGTCTGTATACTTTACTCCATGTAAACGGCACTTCAATTAAAACATTTAAAAATATTTCTAAGGCATTTTCAAATCAAATAGATTTAAAGCTGTTTATATAACAGTTTTTTAAAAACCAAAAGCTAATGACCATCTATTAAAAAAGAAACCTGACATCGTTGTCATACATGGCTAATCAGTGCTCATTCATAATTAGCAGGGAACCATACAAATTATTATTGGGACAGCAAATGCAGTCATTAGGTTCCTTTGGCTCCAGACGGCTGCCGCGGAAGACTCTGCCTGAGGCTGCCTCTGTCTTTGTTAAAAAGGCAGATTAACAAATGTCAGAGAGTATTAATGACATTTAGAGGCGCGCCCAAGAGAGACTTTCTCCTTGACAGAAGGAGATGCCTGGTAGAGGCTTTGGGCAGGGAGCCACACCCTCGTGTGTGGGTCAGGGGCATGAAGGCAGACAGCCCACCCCATGGAAAGGGGCCTCTGGCTCTCAGCCAGGAAGCTGGGGAGCAGCGTTCAGCCTGATGTTCCCCTCCTGGCTTTTCCATGCGCTCTCCCCTGCAGGACATCGCCAAGGATTTCCCCAGGGGAGAGGAGTCTTTGAAGAGGCTGGAGGAGCAGGCGGTGGGGGTCATCCAGAACACCTCCCCTCTGGGTGCAGAGAAGATCACCAAAGAACTGGAGAAGATGCGGGAAGTTCTCGAGAAGCTCCGGGGCCTCCAGGAGGAGGAGGAGGAGCAGTTGCAGGGCCTGCTCAGGTCTAAGGGGGCTTTTGAGCAGCGCAGGAAGCAGCTGGAGGCCGAGCTGGGGGAGTTCAGGAAGGGCCTTCAGAGGCTGGCTGAGGAGGGCCTGGAGCCTGCGGCAAAGGCGGGGACTGAGGACGAGCTGGTGGCCTGCTGGAGACGCTACTCGGTAAGCAACGTGGGGCCAAGCCACGGCCCCCCTGCGGCGGGTGTGCCTTGGCCTGTCTCCCCCTGGAGCTGCTGCATGGTGGGAGCATCCACCATAAGCCTTACTCACTCTGGTTTTCCCAACGTCGGATGTTTGTGCCCATTTTACAGATGTAGAAACTGAGGCCTAGAAAGATTTCTGCCCCCCCAATATCCCTAGGATCACATGATGAATCAGTGGGTAAATAAGACCAGAAGTGGATTGTCTGCAGGTTCCGCCACTGCAAGTGGGGTGGGGGGTGGACTCCCCGAGCACAGAGCAGAGGGTGTCCAGGCCGAGGGAAAGCTCTCAGGGTAAAAATGACGACTGACAAACACAGCGGGGGATTGGGGGCGGAGCCAATCAGACAAGCCCATTCTGGGGAGGGTTCCAATGAGATGTCGTCCAATCAGAGCACCCTCCCCCTCCCCCATCCCATCTGTACACTCACAGGAGGTTTGACTTGTGGTCAGAGAGATTTTTAAAAATATACACCCTCCCCGCTCCTATCATTGTTTATTAACTCAGTGGGTTCACTCGATGTCAGTTCCATTTGGGAAAATATCTGAAAGAAAAACCACCCGGACCCACTTCCACTCTGCATTGTGCCTCTGTGTTTTCCTCTTCCTTCTAATGTTTACCCATGTGCACAACTATTTTTGTATATAAAAAATAGGTGCGAGGCACGCAGACTCCTTGGGGCCCGCGCAGACCCGTCTTGTGGACCGGGTTCCACTGCGAGAGCTTCATACACAGAGACTTGTCTCCCCTTGAGCACTGTCTGCCTCGGCACCAGGCGGGGGTGCAGGGCAGTGGTTAAGGTTTGGGGTCAGACTGCTGGGTTCACGTCTTGGGTCCTCACTTTGCCAACAGGATGACTTTGGAAGAATCGCTCTTACCTCCGTTAAATGCCAAATGGGGATGTTAATAACAGGACCCCCCCCCATTCTTTATGAACATGTGAAAAAGTGCTTAGACTAGCACCTGCCAAAAAGTCACCAAAGTACTGCTTTTACCGTGCATTCCAGCGCAGGGGGGTCAAAGGGGACAAGCGTGGGAGGGGAGGCCTGCACGCCCTGCCGCGACCCCTGTCACGTGGCCACGTGCCCGTGCTGGCTGTTTCAGGAGCCTTTCCTGACCACATCCCTGCAGAGGCTCCCTGCCACCCCTCATTCTGGTGTCACCTCAACTCTGATCAAGTCCTGACTAACCGGAAATCCCTAAAAGGGAAGTTCAGAATTTATTGCTTATGACTTCTGTTCTTAAACAGCACTCGTATAGTTACTGTTTGTATTTCCTATGACGTGTCCTATAGCCTGACCTGCTCAGCCCAGCTGTCCGGGCGCCCGGGGGCCAAGCCAGACGTGTGGCTGTGCGGCTCTGCGACCCCACCTGCTGCTCTGAGCGCTGCACGACCCTGTGTGGGGTCATAGCCATGACCCCCCTTTCATAGAGGGGGCGCCGAGCCCCTGAGAGTCCCCCAACTTGGCCAGGACAGACGGGGCAGAACGCAGTCCCAGGGCGCGGTCCGGCGGAGTTCTGTGGAAGTGTCCTTGCAGCCTGCCAGGAACCCCTTTAGGTCTTTGCACCCTTTGGTGCTGAAGAAGCAGCTAAAGAGCCAGGGGGCCCGGCTCCAATGCCAGGGCCACCTTTTACGGCCCTGCAATGTCAGAAAACACTTGGACGGCGTTTCCTTGCGGGTGAAACGGGGACACACACACTTACCTTCCAGAATCCTTGAGAGGCTAAATGAACGAGACACCAGCGCGCTCAGCGTGGTGTCCCTGTTCCTGGACACGAGCTGTTTGCATTATGAGGGGCAAGTGTTCACGACAGTGCTGGGAGGCAGGTGATACCAAGGGGAAAACCAGCTTGGCGAGGGTCGAGGATTGGGGGGGGGCCGAGCCTCTGCCCCTGGCGACAGTTTTCTCCCTGGCTCGCCCACCCCCCAGCCACGCTCACCCCGCTGAACGGACGTCCTGCCCTGTGCCTGGAGCTCACCGCCCCCTCGGGGCTCCTTTGTGCCGCAGGCGACGCGGGCGGCGCTGGCCGCCGAGGAGCCCCGGGTGGACCGGCTGCAGGCCCAGCTGAAGGAGCTCATGGTCTCCCCCCACGACCTGCAGCCGCTCCTGGACAGCGTCATGGCGGCCATCCAGGAGTTCCAGAGGTACCGGGTTTGCGGAGGGGGGGGGGGGCGGTTGGGGGGAGGGCAAGCAAAGTGCAGGGCTCCAGGCGGTGGACTTGCTTTCTTTTGCGACCTGGTTACTTTAGTAATTCTTGCACCTCTCAACGGCTGGTTTGTCACAGGTCTTACTAGGTTTAGTCACTGTCCCTTTGGACAGTATTTTACATTTCACTCCCCCAAAGACGCCTGAGTTTGCTCTTTTCCATGCCAAGGGCTCATTTACCCATTTGCACAAGTCTCTTTCTGCAGCTCAGCACCGGGGCTGTGTCCACCATGTAATGGCCCAAGGGATGGTTTCCAATAGACAGACATCACGCCCCACCTGCTGATGGCGCTGACGGAAGCCTCTGGCCCGTCTCCACACCAGCCTCTGCTGCCCCTTGACCCGTGGGCTGGGCTCAGCGGGCCTCCGCCTTCCGAGCTCAGCACAGGCCTGCGGACCAGAGAGCCACCCTCAGTGCCGCACGGCACAGGGTTAACTTGAAATTGTAGCTGTTTTCAGTACGTGAGCCTCAGAGCTATTGAGAACAGAGCGGAGCCATCATCCCTGCGTCCATAGGCCCTCCCATCCCTCCATCTGATCCTGGGCTTCCTCCGGAATGAACTCAGGGAGTTCCCCCCTTGCTGTGTGTCTCTGACCCCACAGTGTGTTGGGGCCCCACCTCTGGACATTCCGAGCAGCAGCCTGGACCCCCAAGGGGATGCCTGTGGTGGGCAGGGTGCTTGCATCTTCTGTGCACCATGTAGGCCGAGGGACAGGGTGGCCCTTCCATTGCACTTGCTGATGTATCAGGTGCTGGTTATCTATAACTGGGTGCGGCACATTGCATTTGAAAAATTATTTGTAAAAATTACTTGGGCCTAGCATGATGGTCTTTTACTCAAGCCAGGATTTTGCTTATTTCTGCAAGGTCCCTAGGGGCAAGCAGGACCTGTCTTGGGATTCTGTAGCTGCTCTTTAGAGTTTGACGTTTCCTGGTCACGAAGCTGGGCGGCAAGTCGGGTTGAGTACTGGCTCCTTCCCAGTGCACTTCTGTCCAGAGGGCATGTCGCTCACAGCCTGTGCGACAGGAGAGGGGCCAGCCTAGGGGCAGCACACGCCAGGCCCCCGGGGGCTGCAGCGCGGCCGCATCCTGGACTGACCTGCTTTCTCTGTTCTCCCCTCCGCGCCGCGGAGCAGCATGAAGGGGAGGAGCACTCGGCTGCGCAACACCACGGGGACGGAGCTGTGGCAGCGTGTCCAGCGGCCTCTGCAGGACCTGCAGCTGTGGAATGCCCTGGCCCAGCGGCTCCTGGACGTCACCGCCAGCCTGCCAGACCTGCCCTCCATTCACACCTTCCTGCCCCAGATCGAGGTAACCGTGGTTGTGCCAGGAGGGCTGGCCCGTGCTGCCGGGGGAGGCCGCCACCACACAGGCATCGCAGGCATTCTCCTAGGGAAAGGCGTGTTCCTGGGTCCTCTGCTTATCTGGTAAAGCTCATTGTGAACACGCCTGGCACAGGAGTCCTGTGTGCCCAGGAAATGTCAACGCTCGCTATCAGAGACAGAGGTCATCCTCAGAAGGCACAGCCCCGTGCCTGGTGTTCCCCAGGACTCTGCACTGGGCCTCCCGCGCCCTTCCCCCCCCCCCCCCCCGGACCCCACTGCAGGCAGCTCTCTCTGGTGGGAGCATGAGCAATGAGAGAGCACGTCAGGTCATGACCTTTACTGCGGTAGGATGCATGGGGCAAGTGACAGGAAACCTGACCAATGGTAGCTAAACCCAGTGACCTTCAGGCAGTCCCAGGGCTGGTTTAAGAGCCCGACAGCATCATTCAGGACCCAGGCTTCTCTGGCTCTAAGCCACGTCTCCCCTCACGGCCCCCCAATGGCTGCCACTGCGGCCAGCATGCATCCTCGCATGAACAGCAGCACCTGTGCAGGAAGGAATGGCGTGGGAGCCAAAGGGGTCCCCATCTGCCATTTCCAGCAGGGAGGCCAACCTCCTTCCCGGAATCGCCGGCAGAGTCCCCTCACATCTCATTGGCCCCCCTAGGTCACATGACCACCCTTGGCCCAATCACTGGCTGAGGACGATGGAATTACCATGACCGGTTTGTACCCGTTATAGTCATAATCCTAGAACCTGGAAACCTGCAGTTTGCTACCCTAACAAAATCCTGGTTGTTTGCTGAGGAAGAAGGAGGGATGGGTGTTGGGTGAGCCCTGGACGGTGTCTGCCTCAAACGCCTGTCACCTGGTGGCTCTGATTTGCTGTAAACACCGCCTTGGGCTACCGTGGAGCTCTGGTCCATAAAACGCCTTCAGGTCCAAAGATTCCTACACATGCAGAGTGGAAGCAGGTATCGGGAGAGTCAGCCCCATGGTGTAAGCATTTCCCTTCTGGTGATAAAAGCCATGTCTACTTGGAGAATGTAAAGATTTGTGATGAAAACAAAGAGCCCTCACTGGTATCCCCGCTGGCCACAGGACACTGGTGACACGATGGGCACTCTTGCCGTCCCTTTCTCTGTCGGACCTGGTGTCAGCCAGGGTTTGGCCCTCCTCCCTCAAGCACAGTCCTCAGCGGTGACCGTGGTCTCCACCGCGGCTTTCCACAGGCTTGGGTGGGAGCACGCGCTTTCTCTCTCCATATTGCTTTCGCTGCGGACCCCAGCCCCTCTTCTGGGGGTCCTGTGGGCTCCGTGCTCCTTGTGCTCCTGAGGATGATGGTCCGTGTTTTAGAGGTGCTCCTCAGGGATCCCCAAAGTGAATTTCATGTGTGCCACAAACCTCAGTCTTAGGCCAGACAATCCCAAATGCCCCCTTTGCCTCTGATGAAAATCCACATAGCCATGTCCAGGAGATATGGTCATCAACAGACTGAAGCTTTAGTTAATTCATTACAGTTTCTGTGTATTTGAGACCATACTATGTAATTATATCCACTGATATGTCCACTCTACACCTGTGAGCTTTTTCTCAGCATCATTTAAAATTCTTCCAAAAAGTCAACATTTTTAATGGCTGCATAATATCCCATTTGTGGAAATGCCATAATTTACTGAGCATATCACAGATATTTAGGATGTTCCTCATTTGTGTTGTCATAATTCATATATGTTGAATATCTATGTACACAGATTTTTGTCTCCATTCCTACCATTTTCTCCTCATTTTGCTGAGGGATTTGGGCCAGGAAGAAGTTAGGGTGCTTGTTCAAGGCCAAGTCACTCAGGGGAAACAGCGCTAGGGCCAGAACGGTGGGCTCTAGACTCTCATCTCATGTTCTTGTCCCTACCTTCCCACGGGTTCCTGGAAACAGCGTTGTGATTTAAGCAGAACAATTTTATTAAAACTGTTTGACTGTTGAGGAAACCAAGTCTTATAGAGGGGAAGCCACTTGCTCAAGGTCGCCTAGTCATTACAGCTTTGACCCAGGCCCATCAGACTCCATGACAAGTGTGTTCTGTCCTGTCCTTCCGACTGGGGCGGAAAGCACAGCGGCGCCTCCTTGAGGCGGGAGCCAGGGGGCCTGTCTTTCCAGAGGGTGACCAGGACTCCCGGAGCGGGGTTTCACGGAGCAGTGGGCTGGGACAAGGCGGGCCAGGGCTTCTGTGTGCTCATGCTTGGGTGCCGTTTGCTGGTGGGAGCCAATCTGGCATCGCTGTCACCAGCCTGCCGGGCAGCGTGGATGTCACGGGCCAGGGCGCGGGCTGCCAGCCCTGCCTTTACTTGACTCAGCCCCTACGTCTTGCCTCCGAGTGGCCTGCGGAGCTGCAGGGCCCCTCCAGAACTGAAACACTGCGCCCCCGGAAGTCGGGCACAGCTCGTGTGTTAGTTTCCTAGGGCGGCTGTTACAACCTATGAAAAGCTGGGTGAGCGAAAGCAACAGAATGTATCCTCTTACTGTTCTGGGGAATAGAAGTCCAAGATCGAGGCATCAGGAGGGACTCGCTCTCTCCGAGGGCCCTGGGGGCGTGTTCTGTCTTGCCTCTCCCAGGCTCTGGTGTTCGCCACGGTCGTTGGTGTCCCTGGGCATGCAGGTCCCATCTCTGCTTCTGTCATCACGGTGGACATCTCCCCACGTATCGTCACACCGTCTTCGCTCCGCGCATGTGTGCCTGGGTCCAAATCTCCCCTTTTAATTAGGGTGCCCGTCCTACGGCATCAGGGGCCCACCCGAATGACCTCGCTTGACCTTGGCTACCTCTGTGCAGGCCCCGCCTCCAAAGAAGGTCACGTTCTGAGCTGGGTGGGAGGTTAAGACTTCACCATAGCTTTTAGGGGGAGGGCACAACTTAACCCATAACAGCTGGTTGAATAATCACAGCTGGGAAGGGCCGTTGTTCATTGTGTGTCCGCTGTGGGTCTTGCTCTGTTAAATGTTGTGTAGGCATCGTGGCATTTAAACTTCGTGACAGCCCCATGAGCTGCGGTGTGACCTATGTTACAGATGAGGAAACTGAGGCTCAGAACCGTCCAAGGCCTCCCAGCTAGTGTAGAATCCAGATCATCTCGATGACAACTGCCCGGTCTGAATTTTTAACCCCATGGTATTAAGTCTGGGCTGGGTGAGAAGCAGGTACAGGTGACCCCCTACCCAAAGAGACTTGGCCTCTGTGTGGCCGATCACAAAGCACCTGCCCTCATGCGCGGGACACGCCAGTCCAGCTGTGCTGGCCGTGATTATGCCGCGTGTCCTCCCGGGACCCCTCTGCCCTTGTCAGCACTGCTTCCTCTGAGGGGCCTCCTCGGGCTTCCCCAGCAGGAATTCACTTCCGCCCTGAACACCCACAGCCCTCGGCTGGAACTTTGCTTAGGGAAACACTTTCTTCCTCCACTGCAGTTACCTACCTGGACTGGGGTCCTTGTTCCTCTGGTCCCAGCCCCGTGTCTAGCTCAGTATCTCAGTATCATCATCAGGTAAAAACAGAAGGACTCAGGCCAGCGGACAGCACCAGGGCCCTGGGCCTTACCCCAAACAACTGGTTAACCAGCAGGAGCCTGAGGCTTAGCACAGGGCTGTGTGGCAGAAAACGAGAGTGTAGGCTGGGAATGAAGTCCAGGTGGGCTTCCTGGAGGAGGCGGGGCCTGGGCTGTGCATAGTTCAGTCTGTGTGGAAGCAGCTGCCTGTTACAAAGAGGCTTCTGAGTCCCCTGTAGGTCCCCTTTCCACCTGGCGTATCGTGACTCCATTCAGGTACCACCTCTTCCAGGAAGCCTTCCTGAATTCCCCTGTCTGCTTCTACAGGCCCTTAACTCCCTCATAATGTCCCAGGGACCACGAGGGAGGTAGCCTGCTACTGCTGGTAGAGCCAATTGTTGGGTGGGAGATCACACTGGTTTGGTTTGGGCTCCGCTGCGGGGGCACAGTTGATTCCAGGGGTGGCCGAGGCTGGCGGGCAGCTAGGAGCTGCCGTGGTCTGGGTGAGTGCGGCTGAGGGTGCCCATGGGCGGCAGCAATGGGGATGGACGGAGATGGTTTCTAAGACTGGTGAGTGGTAGAATCCTTGCTCAGGCTTTGACAGTAAGATGGATGTGGGGGGCATGGAAGGGATCAGGTTGACCCTGAAACTCAGGGCCTCCGTCGCGCATTCCTGCCAGCCCATTCCTCATGTCCACCGCTGCCTCAGGACCGAGCACAGAGGCGCAGCCTCCCAGCAGTCGCAGCAGGACAGGTGTGCTCCAGGCGCGGGCTCCAAGCTCCCTCTTGCTCTGCCCTGCTCCGTGGCTAGCGGCGACCTGTCTTCCTACACAGGCGGCCCTGCTGGAGAGCTCCCGCCTGAAACAGCAGCTGACCGTCCTGCAGCTGAAGAGGGACCTGCTGGGCAGCGTCTGCGGCCAGGACAGAGCGGCGGCCCTCCTGGAGCAGGTGGCGGGCTCTGTGAGGGACAGGGACCTGCTGCACAACGGCCTGCTGCAGAGGAAAAGCAAACTGCAGGTGAGCTCCGCCGCTGTCTGCCTGGTGCTGGGGCCCAGCCGGGGGCAGGGCCGCCCCTTCCGGGGCCGGCAGCCCTGCGTTCTGAACCCGGCTCCTCCATGTGCCACTGCGTGGCCTGGGCACGTCCGTTTGGCCCCACCATCTAAGGTTCCTCATCTGTAAACTGGGCAGGGTTACTGTGCTGTCCTTCTAACTGTCCTCCTGGCCATCTGTCTGCCCCACCCCGTCCCTGCCCCCAAGTCCCCTGTCTACACTATGGTCACTGAACCGCCTCACAGAGAGCTAGGGAGTGTCAAATAAGAGAACACAGAGGGAAAAAATGTAAGCTTTTAACCACCAGTTAACTGGAAAGTACGATTACCAGCAATACGTCTCTGTCTGTGACTACACGAAATCGAAAAGGGAGCATGGCGTGCCGCAGGCTGGTCATGCTTCATGTGGCCAGTGTCCGCGGAGCGTCCGATGGTGATGATGGCGATAGCTGTGGTCCGCGGGGCACTGAGGGGGGCCGGGCTCCTGCTGAGAGCCTCACGCCCGTGGCCTCAGCGATCCAAGCAGCAAACGTTCTCGTGTTTGCGGGGCAGACGGTTTCTGCTGCAGCATCCCCACTCTGCCACTGTCGCATGGGAGCGGCTGCACATGCGCGGGCGAGGCTGTGTTCCAATAAAACTTTATTAACAAAAGCAGGCCTCTTGGGGGATGTGGGGGATGTGCTGCAGATGGGGTCTGCCAGCCCCTGTTCTACTGGGCAGAACAGCCGTATGTGGGGACACTTTGGTGACTCTTAGGAGGGGCGCTCAACCCCCTCCAGAGCTCTGGGAAGCCTTCCTGGAGGCGGTGACGCCTGCATGAGCAAGAGCAAGCCAGGAGAAGGCTGGAGAAAGCAGGTGGGTTGTGAGGAAAGCTCTTAATTTGTGTGCTGCCCATTCTGTGTCCCTCCAGAGCTTGCTCGCTCAGCACAAAGACTTCAGGGCTGCTTTCGGGCCCCTGCAGAAGAAACTCTTGGCCCTGCAAGCGAAAGTCCAAGCCGAGAAGGGGCTTCAGCGGGACCTTCCTGCGAAACAGGCCCAGCTCTCGAGGTTGCAGGTAAGGGGCCTGCGGGGCCCAAGCCAGCTCTGCTCGGGTGCTCAGCTGCAGCTGGAACAGCGCCCCGCCTGCGCAGCGACTGGCGGAGCGGCAGCCTGGCCCCTCCAGACCCGGGGACCTGCACCGGAGATCTGATCATCCCTCTCTGCTAATCAGCCTGGCGGTTCCGGCCTCAGCAGGGCCCTTAGCACCTCCAAACTGCTGACTCTCAGGCTTAGAAACTGATACACTGTCCGCGCTTCCAAAGTCTCACACCGACCTTGATTTGAACGTTGCTTTGCTCAGTGCCCCTAACGAGGCCAAAGGCCTTCAGGTAAATAAACCTACTGGGACACTGAAAGTAAATGTCTTAAAACACTTGTGGACTGGACGTCGGCAGCTTGTTAATAATTGTTGGCTGGATGAGGAGCTGGCTGGTTTTTAACAGTTATCTTTTAAAGCCCAAGCACAGCTCATCCGCTCATCCCTACACAGAGAGTATTCTTTGGAAAACATTAGACATGATGCCTTGGGGGCTTTCAAACTAAAGCTGGGATGGGATTCCTCATGACGCAAGGTGGCCGTCAAGCCAGAGTCTGGCCGTGTGTCTCCCAGTTTGTTCTCCTGGTGTCTCCGAATGTTTTCCCCTCAGTTAAGACGCTCTCCCCATTCCCGAAAGCGGGCCCATCAGACGGCCGCGCCGTGCAGCCGCTGGAGTCGGGCACCTGCCGCCCCGGGACCCTCCCAGCGCCTCCCACTCAGCGCCCCCGGCCCTGATCCGCACCCGCCGCAGGAGGCAGGAAGGGCAGCCCCACTCATTGCTCCCTCTGCTGTAGGGGCTGCAGGAAGAGGGCCTGGACCTCGGGGTGCAGGTGGAGGCCGCCAGGCCCTTCATCCAGGGGAACCCCGACCACCAGCACAGAGTGGACCAGCTGTCCGCCGACGGCCAGGCCCTGCAGAGGTCTCTGGAGGTGAGAGCTGCGTCCGCCCCTCAGCCCCGGGATCAGACCCCCGTCGGGAGATCTCTTCCCCTCTTTTCTTCTTTGTTCCTGCCAACTCTTCTTCCTCTTCCTCTCCTCCCGTTTTTCCCTTCCTCATGCACTCAGTGGGCAGTTGTTGAGCGCCTTCTGTATGCCAGGCAGAGTTCTGGGCCCCAAGGATGGGGACACAGGATAGCCCTGTTGGGGTTACGCTCTAGTGGGTAGACAGTGAGTCAACAGCCAACAAGTAAATATGCAATTCCATGGGCTGGCAGCCAACGAAAGGCACAGACATCTCAGGTGCTAACAAGAGCCCCTGGGGGCTGCAGGCCCATCGCGTTTGCTGCCTCAGGTGCGGCTCCGAGGTGGGACTACAAGATGCAGCCTTGGGGCTGTGGGCCTTGTCTGCAGCGCCCTCTGGTGGCCATGTAGATCTTTCTGGCGTTCACAGAGGACGGGCTCCCTTTTGAGCAGTGGGAATGGGAATGGAGGGTCCTTCCAAATTCCCTTGAGGACAAGCTGATAGGCAGGCTGCAGCCACCACCCAGACTCTGATTCAATGGAGCCCCAGGTCTGCGTTTGTCACCAGGGCCCCAGCGGCACAAAGCCAGCTCTCAGGCTGCCCATATCACGAACACTCTTGGAGGCAGGGCTCCCCGCCCCACGGGCCCCAGCCCACCCTGCTTAACCAGAAATATTCGTGCAGTCCGGGAAGTCATAGATAGTATTCGTACCCACACCATTGAAAAATGTAATGCGATGCCCTTTCTATAGCAGAAAAGATAAATAAAAGTAAAGAATAATGATTTAAAAATGCCTTCCAAAATATAAGTGCTCCAAGAGGGCCACCCGGAGGCAGAAGGCGGTGGTCAGAGCGCACCCCCTCCAGGGGACGACCTCAGATGCCTCTAGTGATGGGATTCTCCGAAATGTGAACAACCCGGAGTGCGGTCCTCCCTCAGTTTACAAAACAGCTGCATTCCCGGAAAGGCGGCGTGTTTTTTAAAACTGCCAAAATCTCTGTGTTTATATGTAAACCGGAGTCCGATGCTAAACCCAGACCCCACTAAACAGGTTTTTTCCTGTGCGGATGTCGGTGGGCATGAGAGTGTGGGCAGTACCCCCCAGAGCGGGTCGGGGGTGCCATCCCCCTCACCGTCTCTGCCGGCATCACCCCCACCCCATCGTCAGCGCAGCATCCAAAACCCCCGTGAGCGTCCAGAAAACATGGCTCTACCCACAGAGGCCTCCTGGTCTGAGTGAGGTCTGAGGTCTGAGGTCCAGATGACTTCATTTAAGTCAGTGTAATAAATTAGCGGCTAGTGAGTGGCCCCGAGGAGGAGGCAGGGGCAGCAGAGAGAGAGATAGGAATGGCTGTCCCGCCCCTCAGCAGCCTCAGAGCCGAGTGGCAGCGCCCTTCTGCTTTAATGCCGGCAGCCAGCGCCACCCAGGCTGGTCGTTAGAACAGCTGGGAGAAGCCTTCCCTGAGCGTCCCCAGGGGTCTGCCAAGTGGGGACTCCCAATTCCCTCGTACCTCCTCGTTGTTTCAGTACGTCCCTAAAGAAGTACATTGCCTCTCTTTCATTGTTTTGCCACTCACAGAGACAGAGAGGAACAAGGCGAGAGCTGAGCAATGATGGACCGAGGGGAGGGGAATAAAAAGCAAGGCTGTGTTAAAAAAACTTTTTGCCAGAGTCTAATCATACATAGAAAAATGATTGTCTCAGTGTGCAGTTGGATAAATTTTAAAAAACTGAATACGGCTGTGTTACCAGCACCCAGATCACGGCACAGAATTGTACCAGCGCCCGCCCCTCCCCCGCAAAGCCCCTTGTGCCCCTGGGTCTCTGCCCACCACTCCTGAAAGCCGAAAGGAACCCTGCCCTTGGACTTGGACCAGTATAAGTTGGGTTCGCCCAGTCGTATGTGTTACTCAACTTGAATCAGACGGAATGTTTTATTTTGTCCTGGCTTCCAGCTCTTGTGACGTTTACAAATCCACCCATAACATTGCGGTAGGTTGTTGGGTAGGCCGTTCGCTCTCGCTGCTGTACCCCATCCCAGGGGACGACAATGCCTCGGTGCATTCATTTGTTTGCTGTGGATGGGCGCATAGGGGGTTCCCTGTGTGGGGCTCTCCCAGGCACCGCCACGCCCCGGCCTTTTGGCGGAGACATGTTTGCAGTGTTGGGTGTGTGCTCAGGGCTGAAAGCCTCGGACCCTAGGGCTGCCTGTGTCTGGTTGGAGGTGATACTGACCTATTGTACTATTTTCACGAGTGGTTGTACCAACTTACAACCCTCACTGGTGGTGTCTGAGACCCGACTGCTCCAGACCTGGAGCATGAAGTGAGACAGGCTGAGAGGCCCTTCACGCCAGAATCTGGCTTTCTGGGGTGAATCCCTTGCACTGTGCAGAGGGGAGGACCCGCATCTCTTGTTCCTACTGGTGGACGGCCCTGAACGGGAGCTCCGGGGGACGCCAGGCCCTGCAGGGTAGGGGGGCCCGTCCCAGCCCCCGCCAGCGCTCAGAGCGCCCTGGCCCTCGGGGCTGTGCCGCAGGACCTCGTGGACGGCTGCCAGCGGAGCGTGCGGGAGCACTGCACCTTCAGCCACGAGCTGCTGGAGCTGCGACAGTGGATCGCCGTGGTCGCGCAGAAGCTAGAGTCGTACCTGGGTGACACGGGGCCTTGGGATGCCCAGGCTCGCGAGGCTGATGTCGAGGTGAGACAGCTTTCCGTGCAGAGGCGTTGCATCCCCAAAACCAGGCAAAAGCTCCCCACGAGGGGGGGTGGCGCAGAGACACCTCCTCCTCCAGGACCTCACAGGGCACGTGTGTGCGTATGTGTGTGTCCTTCAGCGGCTGCTGGCGGAGATCCCGCAGAAGGAGGCCCAGCTGCCCCTCATCGAAGCGCACGGCCAGCTCGTGATGGAAAAGTCCTCTCAGGAAGGGGCAACTGTGGTCCAGGGGGAGCTGGCGGCACTGGCGGAGTCATGGCAGGCCCTGCGGCTGCTGGCGGAGAGCCTGCTGAGGTGAGACTGCCTCAGCCCTACGCCCATAAGGGGAGCCCAGCGGTGCTGGAAGGCGGGCTGGCAGTCTGTGGTGGGGCCGGTGGGGCGCTGGGGCCTGCGGCCGTCTCCCACCGGGCCCCCTCGGCGCTGCAGCAGGGCAGGGAGGAGGCCCGGCTTGGGAGTGGCCTCCAGTCCCCATGGGCTTGGGCTGGGCCTGCATCGACGGGCACCTGCGCCCTGTGGACCGTGGAGTAGGTGTCAGGTAGGAAGCTGGAATTGCATGTGCCTTGGGGACATTCTGACTCTCCCGAAGGACAGGCCCAGACTTGGGAAGGGAAGGAGCCTCCTGCCACCACGTGCCCTAGTTTTATTTCTTTGCCGTGGCCGGGTGAGTCCCCGCCACGCCCATCCCCACACTGACTGGGCTGAATTTGTCTTCCCAGCCTCGTCAGAAACCGGCAGCTGCAGAGGACAGAACCGGACTCAGGGACGAAAATGGTTTTCACCAACAACATCCCAAAGACTGGGTTTCTCATCACCCCCACGGACCCCGTTTCCATCTCTAGGCGTCGCCGGCAGGTGAGTCTGTCTGGCGGGGCTTCCAGGAGGGGCCGGATCCTGAGTCCAGTGATCAGGCGGGGGCGGGGGAGTCTCCTTGCCCCCGCCCAGGGCCACATGCTCAGCTCCGAACTTGGCCTTGTCCTGGCTCGGGTCAGCCTGCCCCACTGTGTCCCCAGTGTTCCTTGTGCCACAGGACAGAGGGACTGAGAGACCGCAGACCCAGGCCCCTGGGGCAGGTCCCAGGCATCCCTTGGACAGACAGGCCCTCGCCTCGTGGAAACATGGCCCTGCAGGGAGGAGAGGGTGGGGGTTAGAAGCTTCCAGATTGCAAAAAGTGATCACACAAGATGGGTAGTTTTTGTGCCGTGAGTTGTATTTTGTAAAAACAACCAACCTAAGCCCACGGCATCGCCTGTTCTGTCCTCTGGCTGCCTTCACAAAAGAAAGCATATTGAAAAACTCCCTTCTCGTTCTTCAAAGGCAGCTCGTCACTCTGTTGGTTCTGCCATTTTCTGTCCAAGGCGCTTAGGGAGCCCTGAGCCTGGCGCTCGGGGCTGGGACACAGCTCTGAGACAGGGACGCTTCCCACCAGCAGAGCACCCAGAGCCCGGCGCAGAGACTCCCGTGTTGGGACATGCACCCGATCACGTTCCAGCACAGACTCTGATGCAGTAGGGCTGGCATGGGCCGCGCCCGCCCCGCCCCCGTCCCCCCCTTCCCCCCCCCGTGAGTCTGCATTGCCACAGGCGCCCGCCCACTGCTGGGCCTCGGAGCACATTTTGGGAGACAAAGGAGTGAGACCCACAGGCCATGAGATAAGGGTTTACGGAACACAGGGCTCTCGATGGCAGGAAGGCCACAGGCTGTGGGACCTGCCGCAGACTGACCGTGACCCAGTTCTGGGGCAGGGAAGCCCTCCAGGGAGAAAGGAAGTGGGGGTGGGAGTCAAGGAGAGGGGTGCGGGGGTGCATTCCATGCACAGGAGACAGCATGCAAAGACCCGTGGGAGAGGGCGCTGTGCCAGGGCCCACGGCGTGTCTGTGGCCTCGGGCTAGAGGACGAGCTGCAGATCAGGCAGAGCCAGGGCCTGAGGCTCTTGGGCCACATCAAGGGGTGAGAGGCCACCGTGGTATATAAGTGAGTGCTCAGCTGAAGGGACATGCAAGCTGGAGGGTGCTGGAGGGGGACAAAGTGGCAGGAGGGTAACCGTGGTTACTGCCCTCCTGGTCAGGCATGACGGGGCTGCCCCTGGGGGGCCGCGGAGGTGACCGTGAGGAACGTCCCTGACCCCCAGGCGCTGGCCACATTGAGTAGGGACGTTCCCTGTGCCCCCAGGCCTCTCTCACCTCCACTCTGTGCCCCAGATGGATCCCCAGGACACGTGGCCTGTAGGCTGTTCTCCCATCTGACGCTTTGGACCCCCCCGCAGGCAGACCCGCTCCCGGACGCGGAAGGCGGCCCTGAGGGCTCCCCGCAGCTCCTGAGGAACTTTGCGCAGTGGCTGCAGGCGGAAAACGCCAAGCTGGTTAGAATCATCGCGATGAGGACGGCCACGGCCCAGGACGCGAGGACCAGGGAGGCGAAGCTGCAGGTCTGTGACCCCGTGGGTGTGTTTGCACCAGAAACCTCGCCCCTCCTCACCCCTGTTATGTCGCTCCGCCTGTTGCTGTGTAACAAGCTGTCCCAACAGCCCGTGGCTTCAATCAGCAGCTACTTACTTAACACAATTTTGAAGGTTGGCCTCTTGGGGCGAGCTCAGCGGGGCAGTCTGTCTACTGTAAACCTTTCTCTTTCATGCCCACCTGGAGTTAGCCTCCAAGCCCCCCTGCCCCCCCAAACCCTGATTCCGCCTCCTGAAGACGTTTTGACTGCCCTCTCAGCTACTGCTGTCTAATCTAGGCAGCACGCTTACCACTTTAATTACGGAGACTAAGGAGTCTCCCCTAAAGAGGGAAGGGCTTTCCGTCTCCGCCCCGCAGGGCCCAGGCTTTGACTTTGAGTCCAGGGCCCCGAGGGGTTGCCAAAATCAGCTTTGTTCACCACGGTTTTGTCCAGACCAGCCAGTGTCCTGTTGGCAGAACCGCCTGCACCCTGGGCTTGCTTCTCTGGGTTCCCTCCTTGCTCTGCTTTTAGCCCAATGTGCCTTGCTCTCTTGTTAACTCTTTACTGCCTGTTATTTTATATTTTTATATAAATTTTTGTAGTCAATATATTTTTATAGTCAAACCTCAGGTTTCTTCTTCTTCTTTTTTTTTTTTACTACATAGTTCTGCATTTGTAATGGTTTTTAAATGTTTGTAGTATCTTATCATCCGTGAGACGCATGGCGCAGTCACCTGGTTGACCAGGACCAGGGCGTCCCTCCTGCCCTCCTCCCACCTTCCCTCAGCCACTCCTTCCTTCCACTTCCTGCTGCCGCCCCCAGTTCCGGGCCTGTCAGAGGCAACTTGCGTTCCCTGGGTAAACCTCTCGCCCCTGGAGAGCTCACATTCTTGGGGCTCCGGGAAGCTGAGCAACATGCCCGCATCCTACGGCCAGTAGGGTGGGCAGAGCAGGACCCCAAGCCCAAATGTGAACCCAGGCTCTTGGATTCAGGGTCCTGCTCAAAGCCCCTCGTCCCACCACTTCCCAGGAATCCTGGGGACACAGTGCTATGTCTCAGTAGAGGGAGCCCATCCCAACATCACTCTGCCAGACTTAAACGTGCCAACGGGAAGATGTCCAACCGTGGTAGCTTTTAGAAGGGCACCTCCTACGTCAAGCCCGCGGGAGGACCCGGTCGTAGATTGTCAGAGCCGGACGTGGCCGTGGCGGTCCGCAGGGCAGCTGGCCTTGTCCTGCAGGGGCCTTCGTTACATCGCACAGTGTGGCGGCCTGGCCTTGGCTTGGGCTTGCACGGATGGGTTTCTTACTTAATGGCTGCTGGCAGCTCCTCAGCAGTGAAACCTGATTAGCTCCTCCTTACAGCCCGGTGGGGCCATCTGGGCCATCTGGAAGGTGCACATGACATTGCCTTTGCCCCACAGGAACTGGAGGCTCGGGTCCCGGAAGGTCAGCATCTCTTCGAGAACCTCCTTCATCTTGGGCCAGCCAGGGGGGCATCGGAGGAGCTGGAGGATCTGCGCTACCGGTGGATGCTGTACAAGTCCAAGCTCAAGGACAGCAGCCAGCTGCTGGTAGGGCTAAGGACACTCAGGCCCCAGGCCCGGGGGATGGGACTACGGCCGAGCCCTGGTTCACCGGGGAGACCTGGGTGGGCTTACTCGCACGCAAAGCACCCTGTGCCTCCACAGACCAGGCCGAGGGGACCACTCAGTGAGAGAAGAGGGGGACTCCCAGTTCCTAGGTGCTGGCAGGCAAGGTGTCTTTCGTCTACTCTGCCACCCCGCGAGGCCGGGCTCCGGTAACAGCAGCAGTGACCGTCAAGGTTAATGTCCGAGGAGCACTTTGCTGCCTCTAAGGGGCAGCCTTTGTGGGTGTCTCCCCAGTCAGCCCTCACGGCAGCCCTCTGTCTGAGCGGTTGTACCTCTGGCCCCCAGAGGAGTGCGAAGGCTCAGAAGTGAAACTCTCCCAGGTCCCCGAGCTGGGCGGTGGCAGAACCAGCACTGAGAGGCACCCCACTGCTGGACGCGGGGCAGACGGAGCCTGGGATCTCAGCTGCTCCTCCTCTACCTGCTCTGTGACTCGGAGCAAGCATTCCTTTGCCCCCCGCCCCCCTCTCCCCCCTGCCACCGTGTGCCCTCACAAGTAACAATAATTAGTAGCTAATAAGAGCCTCTATTAAGTGGTATGTCCTCCTAGCAACACTATAAAGGAGGTACTGTTCTTATTCCCCAAGAAGTTATGAGGAAATTGAGGCTGGGAGGTCAGCCCGAGGAGGGGGCACGCTGAGCTCCATCACTCCCTTTGCTGGCCTTGCAATGGCCAAATCGGCCGCTAGGTGTCAGCCCAGCCCCAGCCTGGTGGCCGTGCCCGCCGGCCCTGGCCCAGGCTTTCCCAGACAGAGTCCCACCTGGGCCTGAAGTGCGTTAAAAAGCTCATTAAATCGAATCACCTGCTGGTTCAGCCTGTCCAGATGACCAGAAGTTTTAAAGAAACACTCCCCTGACAAAATGAATATTCCATTACAGGCTCTGTTGGGATTTAAGTTTCACTCACTTAACTTTTTTTTTTCCTTTTCCTCTCCTTCCCTAAAATAACAGACACAGAGTTCTCCAGGGCCGCCGACTGGATTCCAGAAGGTATGGAGTCTGCCATCTGCTCCGCATGGCCGAAGGGTGGGGTGTCTGGAGGGCTGGGGGGCCTGTGATGCTGGGGTGGGACTCCTGGGCTTTCTGGAAGGTTCCATGAAGTCTGAGAAATATTCATGCAGAATCAGCTCTGGGTTGCACCACGCGGGGCCCCGGGCCCTCACTCTCAGGAAGGCCCAGGGGTGTGCAGAGTGTCCTGAGCTGTGGCAGGCACATGACAGAAGGGGACCCTAGAATTTTTCATCTGAAACCAGGGAAAGGTGAGGGGTGAACAAGGACACTCTTAATGATTATGCCTTGACAACAGGTGTCAACCAGAACTGTGCCGTGAAACCCGGGCCATTCCAAACCAGACAGTGTGGCCACCTGAGCGGTAGACGGGTATCGGGGCTCAGTGGGGGACAGAAGAGGAAGGGACAGGGTACCTTTGCCGTTCTACCAGGTGTTACCTCTCACGCCCCCTGAGACGTGCTCTGAGCCACTCCCGTGGGGCTTATGGGCCAAAGCAGTAACAGCAGCAGCAGCGATCGTAGTAACGATGAGTAATAGGTGTTGCTACTCTAGATGCTGCTCACTGACCAGCCACTGGGTGCTATGAACTGTGCTAATCGCGGCGAGGGTGTTTCATTTAACCATGCCAGTGACACCCACGGGCGTTGTCACCTCCGTTTTAAGCAGAGGAAACCAGGAAGTGACAAGTTGGAAAGACCTGTTCAGCCCAGGTTCTGGAGTGGTCGGGGCCTCTGGCCCCAACGCCCCTCACACATGCCTTCGAGAAAGTGCCCCTGAGGCCTGGCGGGTCTCCCTGCTTCTGGAAAAGCCCAGTGTAAGTTCATGTCCCCAAGGCCCCCTTCTCCAAGGGCACACGCTTGTTTTCCTGCCAAGCGTTGCCCGTGAGAGATGCGCCTCCAGTCTGCTCTGCTCCGAATGCTCTGGGCTCCTTGAGGTCTCCTTGTCACAAGGCTGTTTCCGGACACTTTGTGTGCCAGGATGTCTTCTTGGTCTCTAGGTGCTGGTCACATCTCGCATGTTTGGAAGAGAGGGTGTCCCCTGGACAGGGCGGGGCAGTCCTGAGACCAAGGCTGTGCTCTGGGCCCTGTGCCGATCAGCTTTGCGACCTGAGACAGGTGGCTTTGCCTCTTGGGACTCACTTTTCCCATCTGTGAAATGGAACTATTAATGCGGACCTTCTTTACCTCATGAACTAGTTTTTTGTTTGTGTTTTTTTAAGAGTTTATTTATTAATTTTTAGAGAGGGGAAGGGAGTGAGAAAGGGAGGAAGAGAAACATTAATGTGTGGTTGCCTCTTGAGCGCCCCCTACTGGGGACCTGGCTCGGAACCCAGGCCTGTGCCCTGACTGGGAATTGAACTGACAACCCTTTGGTTCATAGGCCAGCGCTCAGTCCACTGAGCCACACCAGCCAGGGCTCATGGACTAGTTTTAAAGATCACATAAACTGCCACCGAAGTTCTTTAGATATTCCAGGCCCTGATCCCCCCTCCCCAATTTAGAATACCCAAGAGACCCCTTGTGAAAACAGGCAGTAGCATCGGGAGGATTGGGCTGGCCTGTCTAGCCTTGTGGGATATAGGAGACCCGGGGCCAGGGGCCCAAGCTGCCTCTAGCTCCCACACCTTGAGCTCCTGACTGGCTGGGAGCCCTCAGCCATATAGCGCCCAGGCCAGAGGCCATGGGGAACCACATCCTTCTCCCCTGGTGCTTAGTGATAGTAAGCACTCACTCAGTATTTCTGAGCAGGGGACACTTGCGGGCTGACCCAGCCCTCTGTGTATCTGCTATGTCCTCATTCATTCGTTCATTCCTTCATTCATTTCACACATGTGTGCTGACTGCTGACTTTGTCCCAAGTGCTCTTTTAAGCATTTGAGATCCCTCAGTGAACCCAAGAGCCAAGCCCTACCCTGGTGGCCTGCACACGCTGGCTGGGTCCGGGAGTGGGGGCGTGGAGAGAGGGCTCCCACGACCAGCTGGTCTTGCTGAGGACAGGGGCAAGACTCCAGGTCAGGGGGCACCCAGGGCGGCAGAGGCTCAGGGGTCTCCTCTTACCTGTGGCTGGCGGATGTTGGGCGCTGTTTCATGGAGTATGCAAAGCAGACAGGCTCTAAATGGCAAAAAAACAAACAAACAAACAAACAAACCAAAAAACCCCCCCAAAAAACAACCCTGCTTATCTGGGCTGTGTTTAAAATAATTGAATGTGTGAATATTTGAGTCTGGTGCTAGCTGGCTTTTGAGCTAACAGGGCTCAGCCCACTATGAAGTACATACCTAGAGGCCAATCTACAGAAGCGATCTTGGGCTCCTTTACAGGACAGTTTGTTTCAGCAGAGGTTTTGTGTCTCTCCCCCGGGATTTTGAATTTGGTAGGTCTGGGGTGGCCCAAGAACCTGCATTTCTAGCAAGTTCCCAGGCGAGGCTCAGGCAGCAACTGGCCTTCGGGAACCACCGCTTTATGTGCTGTGTTGGGATCTGGGATCCACCCTTAGAGCGTGTGGTCGTTGGCTGGTCCCTTAGCCACAGTTTCCCAATGAATAAAAAGGAGGGCCCCCCAAGCTCATGGTGGGCAAATTTCTTGTAACAACCAGCACATAGTAGGCTCTTAATTGCCTTGGAGCCTGGAGACTTCTGCAGATGCTACCCCTGCTTCTGTGTCTGAGAACGCTCTGTCAGGGACCCTCCCTTTGGCTTGGTTCTGGGGGTCGTTTTCCTGGGTGGGGTGTGTGCATGTGTGTGCAGGAGCGTGTGCACACATGCACGTATACACACGCACGTGCAGGCCTGGCAGGTAGAAAATAGGCACGGTCTTCAGAGGCTGTCACCTTGCCAACTTAAAAACATTTCATATATTATTTTTATTCAAAAGGGAAGGGAGGAAAAACCTGCCCCAAAGCTAATTATTTATGAGCCGTTGGTTTTGCACGCTTTTTTTCTCTCTGTGTGCCGAGTCATTGAAGGCTCCAGCTACGTCAAGGGCTTCAGCCCGCTTGTTTGTATAAACAGAACAATTAAGATTTATTAAATTTGCAGCTGCCTACACATTGCCGGCTCAGTGCCACGAGATGTGTTTGCCTGCAGCGTTCAGACACATGAAATGAAATTGCTTTGCAAGTTGCAATTGGGCCGTGAGTCAACTACATTCCTGCCCTGGCCCGGGGAGTGGAGCCGTCCTGCCTGAGAGGAACCGTTAGCCGAGGGACAGGTTTGCCAGTGTTTCTGTTTGCCTGGGTGAACTGGCGCAGGGCCTGTGCGCCCGTCTGCCCACGTGGAGAGCGTTCAGTCCTGTGGCTTCTGGGATATAGATTCGGGTGCTGAGCAGCCTGAGGGTGGCATTTTAGTTACCTGACCCTCCTGTATACAACAGGTTTTAAGACTCCTCATTTTCACATCTTCACAGCTCACCTCTTGGGGTGTCTTATTTCAATCAAGTTCTTTCAGCGAGGATTGTGGACTGGCTTCTCCCCACCTCTCACCAGGACACTATCCACCTGAGATTTCTTTACCTGAAAATCTCTGCTTGTGGGTTGTGTTTTGTTTTGATTTTCCTTGGACCGCACTGACGCAGTAAATTCAGACAGCCAGCCTCTGGGAGCTCCAGCCTGTGGTTCCAATTCTCAGGGAAGAGTTTTGTTTCCTGCCCTTCACCCAGAGCCACGATCAAACATTGAATTTCCATGCTTACCTTTTCTGCGAGGTGGAACTAGTCCTCGTCCGCCCCGATACTGAGAGTACAGCTCTTTGGTGCCCCAGCTTGATGCCGGCTCTCCAGTCAGAGGCTCTGTCTTAGTTGTTAGTTTTTTCGTAACAGGTGGGATATAAAATAACAGAGCAGCCTACACCCGGTGTCTTGGAGCAGCTGTAACACTGTAATACCAAATCTCAAGGCAGCCGAAAGTTTTGTTAGAGAATGACTTTCTCTCTCTCTCTCACTGTGATTTTTTCCCCCCAAGACCACATGCCTAGTCTTTGATGCTCACAACCACCTTCACCTTTGTGGTGGGAGGGCAGGGGCCACTTGGACCCTTCTCCACGGTGGCAACGGCCCCGTCGGGTTCTGGGCAGAGGGGATGTAGCTCGACTTCATCGCCCTGCGACTCACTGTCCAACTTTGGGGACTGGTCAAGTTCGGCTTTTCCTTAGAGAAGGGCCTGAGCTTCGCTAGGGCTCTGCTGTCTCTGACCCTCCAAAGGAGAGAGCCAGGGATGGACCTCAGACCACGTGCTACGTCACCCCGGGGGCCCTGTCCACCCATCTGTCGACCCAGAGGCAACTGGCCCTTGCTGATTGATGAAAGAGCCCATGCTAACCCTCCGGACATGAAGTGCTTGAAACTTGGCCTTTGACCACTCGAATCCAGAGTTAATGACATTGGCCCTTCTACGTCTTCCTCCCTCCATTGCTCAGCCCGCCTACCTTCCCGCCTCGGACAACCCTGAAATTCATCCCAGCGAGGTAACCAGCAGCCATCTCTTCACTGAGCACAGGGACCATATCTCTGTCCTCATCTTGGCCTCGGGGCAGCCTCAGGCCGAGGACCGCGTTCCTCTCTCAGGGGTGTCCAACCTTTTGGCATTTCTGGGCCACACTGAACAAAGAGTTGTCTTGGGCCACACATTAAATACATTGCGACGTGTAATCAGAAAAAAATCTCATAGTGTTTTAAGTAAATTTACGATTTTGTGTGCGGCTGCATTCACAGCCACCCTGGGCCATATATGGCCCGCGGGCCATGGGTTGGAAACCGCTGCTTAGTTCTTCCCATTCCTCTAGCGGTCCTTCTTAGACATGACCCACTCTCTCTTTAGGTACCTCTCTCTTTATTTTATTTTTTTGCTTCTTCAGTGATCAGGATCAGCATTGATAAGATTCAGTGTTCGTGAGATAGTATTACTTAATCCACAGTCCATGCACAAAATTTTTAAGCTGTCTCAGTAGTCTTTAAAAAAAAAAACAACACTTTTTTTTTTAGTGGTTACAGGTTTATAAAAAAAAATGAGATCATGCAGAGTGTCCCCATATACCCCCCTCACCTCTCTGCCATGTTTCTTCTATTTTTAACATCTCACATTAGCACAGCACATCCTTACAATCGATGAACCAATCTAGCTACATCATTATTAACTGAAGTCCCTAGGTGAGAGCTCACTCTTGGCGGTGCGCATTCTATGGGGTTGGACAAGTGTATAATGACACGTATCTGCCACGATAGTGTCATACAGAACATGACACTATAGCTCCCCTGTGCTCCTGTTGTTATCCCTTCTCCCCTCCTCCGGAGCCCCTGGCAACCACTGTCTTGTTGCTCATTTCACTTAGCAACAGGCATTTAAGTTTCCTCCATGTCTTTTCACGGCTCGATATCCCATTTCTTTTTATCACTGAATAATATTCCACGGCATGGATGAGCCACCTACAGTCCTTCTCATAGGTTTTTCCCTCAGTCCAGGATCACACACTGTATGTGGTCATCACTTCTCTTTAGTTTCCTCTGCGCTGGAACGATTCATTCCTCAGTTGCACTTGCCCTTGACCTTCTCAAGTACAGGCCAGACCCTTTGTAGAATGTCCCTCAGGTCGGGTTTCCCTGACGTTGCCTCGTGACTAGAACAGGGCCGTGCATTTCTGGCAGGAATGTCCCAGAAGTGAGGCCGTGTTCTCCTCATGCGTCTTCTGGGAGACCCACGATGCGAACACGCCCCCGACAGGGGCGATGTTCCCTCAGACCGTGTGATGAAGGGTGCCTCTGCTGGGTCTCTCCCCAGTAAAACTGCCGTTATTTCTTTGTAACTAGTAAGTGCTCCGTGGGGCACCGCTTAGACCCACTGCAAACACAGTGCCTCTTTCTTACACGGTTATTTCCCGGGGGTCTCTAGGGCCTCTTTCCCTCCCACAGTTCACTGTCGCGGGCCCGTCCTTCCACCCCTGAGGCCTTGTTCTCCGCCTCTAAGCCTCTCGTTCTCTCGAGTTCATCTCCAGTCCGGGTCTATCCTAACTTCAGTCCCAAAGGCCCAACTTCCTGCTACACGTCTGCGCGGGAGTCCCACGGACCCTCTCAGAGTCAACAGGTCTAAAGGTGGCCTCACTGCATCCCTGACACCCACCCAAACCCCGATCCCCACATCAGCGGAAGCATCGTGACCCCCCAGTCGCCCCAGCTGGCTGCCTCCAGGTCGTCCTGGGCCCTCACTGACCTTGACGCTCATCCCAAGTTCAAAGCCTGGGCCTGGATGGACCTCAGATGAGGAAGGATGAAGAGGGGAGAGAAGGGAGAGGAGGGGAGGGGAGGGGCGGAAAGGGGAGGAAAGGGAAGGAGGAGAAGGAAGACAACCTTATGCCCACACATCTGCCCCCGAATCAGGCTTTGCCCTTGCTTGAATAATGGCAACATCAAGGGTGTCCACCTGCAGCCCACGAGATGCATGAGGCCCCGGATGGCTATGAATGGGGCCAACACAAAATCATAAATTTACGTAAAACCTTTTTTTGGCTCATCAGTTTTTGTTAGTGTTTGTGTATTTAACATGTGGCCCAAGGCAACTCTTCTTCTTCCAGTGGGGCCCAGAGGCGCCAAAAGGTTGGACGCCCCCAGAAAAAAATCACCCCTCACTCCAATCATATCATCCAAGACACTTCCCACCCATGGACAAAACCACCCCCAAAGAGCCAGCCCGGGCCGTCTCCTCTCCCAACCCTCTGTGAACCAACCTCGGGCCTCTGGAACAATCCAGCTCTGACAGTCATATGCAGAGCCACCCCCGTAAGGAGAGGGAATGACCCTGGCCGCAGCCCGGCCACTGCCCCCTGCCCCGGGTGGGAGCCCTGGGGCCTCTGAGCTCTCACGGGAAGTGCGCCTTGGGCAGTGGCCCAGAGTTTCAGCCCCGAGGACTAGGAAGAAGGTGCCCGGGACACCGCAGGCAGGGCCCGGCTGGGGACCTGCGGACGCCCCGAGACCCCCTGAGGCAGCCAGGCAGTGAGGGAGGCCCCAGACATTCTGGAGATTATCTGGAGCAAACCTGGGGAGAGGGGGCAGGAAGGCAGCCAGGACGTGGCATGGCAGCCCATCAGAGGGGCCTAACAGGGCCGAATACATTGCTGACCGAGAGTGGGCGAGGGGCATTGGAGCTGCCCCTCCTGAATTGCCGGAGGAAAGCTGGCCCCTGTCGGTCACCTTAGCTCTTGGTGCTGGAAGCATCTTTGTGGTGGTGAATAAGACCAGCTCCCTGGAAAGCCCCTGAGAGTCCCACGCTTGGGCCCGGGATCAGGGTGGGATCGGCGTCAACCATTCCAAGGTGGCTGACAACAGAGGCCTAGGGTGGCTTCTGTGGCGGCTTTTTAGTTGTTTCCTGTGAGAAATGCCGGAGGGTGGTGGACAGAGCCTGGGCTGCGGAGCGGTGCTGCCGATTTGAGCCTGTCCGTCGACCTCGGGCTGGTTCCATCCCCACAGGCTCAGTCTGTTCCTCTGTGATGCGGGCGCAGGGGGCCCACCTCCCCGCGCGGTGCCGGAGCTCAGGAAGCCAAGAGTGCGGGGGCGCGCTTGGTCGTTCATTAACGAGGGAGCCTGGGTGTTCTGGGTGGGGAACCACCGGGCAGTGGGAACGGCTCACAGGTGGGGGTCAGCCTGCGTGGTCACAGCACGGCCCCTGAGGACGCGCAAACAGCCGGCGGCATGGGGAGGGAAGGAGCCTTCTGTTCACTGTGTCGGTCATTCAGCAGATGTTTACTGAGCACTGCTGGGGACTCAGCAATGAACCAAACTAACGTGAGCCCTGCCTCCAGGGTGTCTGGGGACGCAGACCCAAATCAGCTTCCAGAAGAAAGGTCTGGGCACCATGAGAAGGTGCTTGTTTTGAGGCTTGTTTTGGTTCAGGGGCCTGAGGAAGCCACTCACCAGCTGAGGTTAGAATGATCCACAGGAGCTTCTCAGGTACATTGTGGAAGGAGGGAAAAAAAAATGTTCAGTGACCTTCTCGAGACACCCAGCCAGGACTCACATCCAGGCAGAGATTTACATCTTGACGGGCAGAGCCTGTGACTTGGTATGTTTGTCCTTCCTTTTGGGCCTTGAAGGGTTAGCGAAAACCACAGAGGTCTTTGTGTTCTGGCAAAACTGACATGGGGTCCCCTTCCCGGCCGGGAAGACGGGAGGCCCGTGGGGTCCGACAGGCGGCCCCGCCCTCCCGCTCAGAGCCCCCAGCCCACTCACCCCTGCCGCTCTGGTTCTGCAGGCCCGGCGGGGGCGCGGGCCCTGCGCCCTATTCCAGAAGGTGTGCTGCGTGGCGCTGCCCCTGCAGCTGCTGCTGCTGCTGCTGCTGCTGCTGCTGCTCCTGCTCCCGGTGGGCGAAGACGACCGCAGCTGCGCTCTGGCCAACAACTTCGCCCGCTCCTTCATGTTCATGCTCCGCTACAATGGCCCGCCACCCACCTAGCCCACTGCGGCCCGCAGGTGACTTTCTTCTCCGCCCTTCCATCGGCCCTGGGCTCCTCCTGAGGCCGCCGGGGACACTGGAACGGGGGCAGGCCAGGCGGCAGAGCTGCCCCGTATAAATACTGTATCGACGTTCCCAGCACAAAATTACTTTTTATACAGTGTTGTCTTTGTCTATTTATACTAAGTGCATATTATGTGTGACCAGGAATCATGTATAGACTTTTTATATACTCTGTATGTAAGTGCTCAGCGTGTGTTGTTTCAAAGATGGCAGCCGAGTGTTGTTGGGAGAAAGGAGCAGCATGGCTGCCATGGCCTGCCGTCAGCCCGGAAACCGGAACGTGTCCCTGGGACGGCAGCCTCTTGTCCAGAAGCCATCCCCCCGCCCCACCCAGATGTCAGGAAAAGGCCTCAGACTGGCACGCCAGGCCCACCCTCAGCGCCCGGTGACTCTTGTTTTAGGCACAATGAGGACAGACATGCTTGTCCGGTTTTTAAAAATGACAGCAGCTTAGGGCAGAAATGGCGATGACCCAAGGCAGCCCCGGTGACAGCCGTGAAAAGCAGAAGGTGAGGGAGTGACAGCAAGATGTAGCGCTACAGAGAGCAGGCCCAGAGAGAGGCAGAGGCGCGCAGGCCGGGGGCACCGCGAGCAGGAGCCCCTGAGTGCTCGGACCAGGGACGCGACCTGTGGCCATGCACGGAGTCCCAGGGGACCGTTGGCTCGGGCCCGTGTGTCCTGTCCAGGGAGAGCCGCGAGGAGAGAGACTTCCCTGTTGAGGCCTCCACGGAGATCGGTGGGCACACTGGGTGTGCAGCAAGCACCCCCGACAGCGACGGGGGAGGTGTGTTACCTCGGTCGCTCTTGGGCGGAGTTTGTCCTTGTCTCCAGGAGAAAGGGGAGCCCATTCCACACCAGGGACCAGGGATCGAGAGTCTAAGCCAGAGATGAAATGCGGCCCTGGAGCTCAGCCCATTTGAAGGGTCCCCTCCTCCTTCCAGAAGGGACTTCAGACGGGAGCACCTCCTCTGGACCGAGAAGGTCCTGCGCATGCCCCCACAATGTAGCCACGCCCCAGGCGCCCCAACCCAGGCCCTCTCTGGCCCGGGCTGGACAGTAGGGCTCCTTGCGCCATGTGGGAAGGAGCTGGGGTGACTCCATGCTGGGCCCTGAGACCGGAAACGTGTCCCCTCCTCCCCAGGGAGTTCCAGAGTCGTTCCTAAGTGCCTTGTAATGGGATCATGTTTTCCCTACATCAACACTAAGTTTTCCTTTATAAACAGAACTTAGTGCCCGCTCTTTATAAAACCATTTTGTCTGTTCAGTTACAAGGAGACCAAGGAGGGTTCCTCAGGCTTTTGGACCCATAAAGTGTTATAGACCCAGGAGGGCCCTTTAAGCAGAGGGGAGACCAAAGGCCCTGCCCAGCCCCACGCCCCTCCCCTTGCCCCCGCCCAGCTCCCCTTCCAGCGCAGGCCCCGCCTCCACACGGCAATGCTGGCCTGCCGGTCCCAGGCCTCCCAGGAACCAAAAGGGACTGGACATTCAGGGCGCAGGGAAATGGAGTGGGTGGGAACTTCCAAAAGCAAAAGCTCTGTAACAGGAACGTGGTCGTGTGCCCTTCGGGGAGAGGCAGCTGCCGTACATGGGCCAGCGGTGGAAGTGTGTATTTTTTAAACTTTTGATAACAATGCTGTAGAGTCTATTTGTTTGCAGAATTGTTTTTTACAAAAGAGAACTGATATTTTCCTTACTTTGTATAAATACAGCTGTAATATGATCTAATAGCCCATTAACCAGTGCTTTTCCCGTGTAACCTCTTTGCTTAAAGTGCGTGCAGTTAGGATTTTTATGGCTTTCTAGGTTCCTAGACAAGAGCCACAAAGAGCTTTAGAGGGCCCTGTGAGAGAGGTGTCCGGTGGGACTGCGCGTGTTTGGTTTTCCTCTGTCCCCAGAGCGGGAGGGAAGGGAGGGAAGGTGAAAGGCACTGCTCAGCCCAGCTGGGGGTGGGGTGTGTGTGTGTGTGTGTGTGTGTGTGTGTGTGAGAGAGAGAGAGAGAGAGAGAGAGAGGCAGGGAGGGAGAAAGGGAGGAAAAGGAGAAAGAGAGGGAGAGAGAGAAGGAGAGAGAGGGAGAGAAGAAAGAGGAGGAGAAAGGGGCGGAGGGGGGAGAGAAACACGGTGGTCGAAGCTGCTGGTTGTCCTGCTTAGCCGTCTCGCACTCCCCTGCCCCGTTTTCTTAGCTCCCCCCGTGGGAGATGTGGGCAGCAGACAGGCCAGGAGAGTCCCACGGTGCTGGGACGCAGGGGGCAGAGGGAATGATGACATCAGAATGAAGAGTGCCTTCCATTGGGTGCCGCGGGGTCCCCAGCCATCTTGGATGTAATTCCCACAACAATGTTCGGGGTCTGGTATCACCTTACTCCATTTTTGAGATGAGAAAGCTGAGGCATAAAGATAGAAAGATGCTTTTCCCTGCAGAAGTGGGAGTTTGAACCCAGGTTTGCCTGCCCCCAAAGCCTGCGCTGGGAGCGGGGTTCTGCCAGGTCCTACCAGGGTCTCCTGGGTGCAGCCTCTGCAGGCCCTGGGGATGGGTTTCCTGAGCAAGCAGCTCTGCCCTCCAGCTCAGTGGGGATGGGGCGCGAGGCCTCCCTCCCGGGCTGGCCCTGGGCCCTGGGAGGAGTCACCACCAGTAGCACAGTGGCACCAGCCACTTCCCACACTCAGCCATGAGCTGAGGCCCCCAGCCCTCCTGTGAGGTCCGAGGGCGCGGCCGCTATGACCGGAGCCCAGGGCCGAGCCCAGGGCAGGAGCTGCAGCTGGGGCTCATTGAACAGCACGGAAACGCCCACAGTGAGTGAGTTTGCCGACACCCAGCTCTCTTCTGGGTGCAGGGAAATGGGTCCTGGGTGAGGGACCACTGCCATCTCTCACAACCTCTGCCTCGGGCAGCTGGCGGGAGTCCCCAGCAGGGAGCAGAGGACGGGGATCTCGTCCCTGGGCAGGGGCGCCACCCGAGGGCCCCTGGGGTATTGCTGCCCACACCCTGGGAGCAAGCCCTCAAACACTGCAAGGCCATGGTTCTGTCTGCCGCTGGCCCGATTAATAATCTACAGTCATGGTTCACAGTAAAAACTTGTGACTGGAAGTACCAAACTGAGAACCCGCTTTTCCGCCCCGAAGAGTTTGCAGGCTGGTAGTGGACGTTCCAGTAATGGGTGTGGCCATGAATTAGCATAAACTCTTGCCCCTCCCCACTCCTGCCGACTGTGCTCCCCAGAGCAGGGGAGGTGAGAGGACCCCCCACCCCAAGGGAGGCTGCGCCTGGGGCCCCGGCCTGCCCTGTGAATCCTGAAACACCGGTGGCTTCCTCCAAAGTTTGGCATTTCACTGGTGGCAGCACGGTGACCTCGAGTGAGCTCCCTGTGTCCCCAGCCCAGTTGCGATCATGCCCTCATTCCCTCTTTTATGGGGACTCAGCTAATTCCGTGGGGGCTCCCCTTGCTCCCCTCCCCCCAGTCTGATTGTCGCCAGCCTGGGTCAGCAGCAGAGACAGGGTGAGGCGGAGAGCACTGGCCCAGCACGAAGTGTGCAGGCGTCTACCTCTGTTACTGCATCCCTGGCAGACATCACTGACCGACCACTGAGCTCTGCCCCTTCCCTCTCCAGCCCAGACGGACCCAGAGTCTTACTCATAACCACTCCAGGCAGCTTTTGCCGATCAGTCACATTTGTCATGTGAGAAAAGCCTGTTTGACATCCTTGTACCTGGTGCCCCCATCAGAAAAGTCTCAATTCAGACCTCCTCCTTTTTAAAATTTTTTTAAAAAGTCAGGATGTTCTTAATTAAAAATGAACTTCCCTGGTCTAGTACCTGGGTGAGACAAGCTGACCCCCAAAAACTGGTATTGAGGTGAACCCCCAGATGGGACTTGTAGGGGAAGCAAAATGGAGGAGGAAATACTAAATTATGAGTGTGTTAGGCTGTTGGCGGGGGTGGGGGGAGGGCTCTCATAGACTCTAGTTGCAACGCGTGCTCATTTTCCAGGTGAGGAAACTGAGATCCCAACAGCTCTTGTTCTCCCGGTGGATTCAGGGAGTTAGTTTTAGAAGTGGAAGCAGATCAAGAAGTACAGATGGAGCTTTGCTGTTAAGAGCTTGGGTGAGGTCGCTGCCCCGTTCCCCCTAACCATTGGTAAAGGGGGAAATTAGTCCTGGAACCTCCTGTGCTACTTGAAATGTTAGACATTCTAGGAAGTGGGCTCCTCTCTGGAAGGGAAATCCCTACCTTCAGCCACAAGTATGAGAATCACCTCTGCCACCATCTGTGCCTTAAACAAATGAGGCGCTTGGCTCTTTCCTCCACCTGAGAAGCCCAAGGAAGAGCATTTGGCTTCATTTCCTCAGGTATGTTGGAGGCCTCGTTTCTGCAGCTCTCTCCCCTTTGCCTCATGGTCCCCTCATGGCCCAAGATGCTTGCTTCGCCTCCGATTTTTCATCTGCGTTCCAGGTGGGAAGAAGGGGATGAGCTAGCGGAGCCTGTCCTTTTTCAGGAGCTTTCCCAGAAGTTCCACCCAGGCTTCTGTTTTCGTCTCAGTAGCCAGGCCTGTGTCCCATGGGTCCCCACATCTGCGTGGAGTCTGGGAACATGCTGCCCCAACAAGATGGGGTTCTCTTAGTTAGAAGGAGTGGCGTGGAGCAGCCCTTAGGCGCCTCGGCCTCAGCCAACCTGGCCCTCCCTGTCTTGGGCTCATGCTCAGTCAGCTGAACTTGGCGTTCGGCGCTGCAGTGTGGGAGCAGCCCCCTGCCGCTGCACGCCGCCTGTCTTGCCCGTAAACAGCGGCCCCTGAGTCCTATGATCCCTCCCTGGCCCCAAGGTAGTGCGGATGTTCCTTCCACACTCAGGACGCTCCTCAGCCTTTCTGCTTTGTACTGGGATTCAGCCTCAGAAATTCATGTTGGGTTTCATTTCTTCTGGAACATGAGGAACTTCTGGGTACAAATCCTGGAAAAAGAGGCTCTCCGAGCTTTTTCAGGCTGCACCCCCCATTGTCTCACAGACCAGAGGCCTTGAAAGCGATAGTTTGAAGACATGCCCACAGATGGCTCCCATCACGTGGTTGGCGGAGCCCACGGAGACCCCAGCAGAGGCCCAGATTCCAAGGACTTAGACGGGCCATCATTTCTCCCTCAGTCCCAGTCACAAGACAAGTGCCTTCTGTCTGTCAAAGTAAGAAAAAAGGAGAATTTGTTTTTAACGGGGGAAAAAAATCTCATGGTCTAAAAACAAATCTTACAGCAGAGCACCCAGAGCCTTGAGCAGCATCCTCAGCGCCTGCCTTTTGGTTGCCATGGTAACATCCCAGCTGCTCACAGGTTGGTACTCAACCACCTTGTCCAGACTGGAGATAGTAATCACACAGCGGGACCTCAGGGTCCCCAAAGTGTCCTAGGCCTCCTTTCAGGAATGGTCACTGCTGAGCTCTGCGACATGGACACAGGCCTGCAGTCCTCTTCCTGTTGTGGACAAAGGGATGGAAGGAACATAAACTGAGGGCCCTGCTTCCTTCCAAAGGCCCCGCTAGGGAATCTTGCTCTTGCTTTCAGGTGCTGAAACCAGAGCACAGAGAGGGTCAGCAACTTGCCTCAAAGCGACCAGCTAGTCGGTGAGAGGTCCCTTCGGGACTTGAACCCAGGAACGGTGGGCCCCAGGCACCTCCATGGGACTGCACCTCCGCTGCCTTTCTCTCCTTCGTGGGCCACAGGCACCGCTGCTCGGGCGGCTGGTCATCTGGTTGGGGGTGTCGGTCCAGAGCAGGGCCTGCGGGGCATCTTCCCAGTGCCCACCCCCACGGGCATCGGGGGCAGGCAGCACCTGAGAGAGGGGCCGGGGATGGAGGCTGGTGCCTAGAGAAACAGAGACAAGCAGCCTCTTGTGGGGCAGGTGGGGACAGTCAGCTTTGTGACGCCGCTGCCTGTGGAGCAGCTCTGAGTCCTTTCGCTGGGGAAGAAAAAGAGGCATTTTTTCTCCAGAGGCAGTGGCTGGGTGTGTTCCCGAGGTTTCATTGTTAAGGAAGAAGTG